AATGCTGAGTGCCTCTTACGGCGCCCTGTTGGTTCAATCTACCTACCAGTGTTCAATTCCTCTGTACACTGCGAGTCCTTCATGATCTGTGTGTGCTCGTAGTAACCTCTATTTCTGCTGATGGGCGTGGCTATATGACATCATCCAGGGGAGCAAAAGGTCAGATGGAAAGGCCCTCGATAGTGATATCATGTCCGGACTGTTTATAGCCCTACATTCTCTTTCCGATGCAAAAGGAGACGAGGAACGATGAAAGAATTATTTCGGCCCCAATAGGGGTGCGAATTCTCCAGTCGCTGTGTGGGGAACTACCCTGGGTCTATTAAATCTGTTGTCTTTCTTTGCATGCTATCTAGATCAAATACTGTAAGTATGACGGAACACAATATACTCTACTCGAATGACGGAACATGCTCCAGTACAATATTTGATATTCTCAACGGACACAAAGGTGCTTCGCTTTAAGCCGGTCTAGAATTCCAAAATACTCTTTGATTCATGAAAAAAAAGGTTGATTACACTCAAGAACATAGGAAATATAATGGTGTCAATGCTACACGGGATTTGCTAGCGGGGCTAGACTAGAGATGGAGGTACATGATGGGGGCGGGTCGGAGAGGTAAGAAGGGATGAGGAGCTTAGAAGTGGATGGCCTTGGAGTAGGTGGCCATGGCAGCCTCCTTGAAAGCCTCAGCCAGGGTAGGGTGAGCGTGGCAAGTGCGGGCAATATCCTCGCAAGAGGCACCGTACTCAACGGCGAGGGTGGCCTCGGCGATCATCTCACCGGCGTTAGGGCCGATGATGTGGACACCGAGGATGCGGTCGGTCTCGGCATCGGCGATGAACTTGACCTGACCCTCGGTGTCGAGGTTGGTCTTGGCGCGGGAGTTAGCGCTGAAGGGGAAGGTACCGACGCGGTACTTGACGCCGGCGGCCTTGACCTCCTGCTCGTTCTGGCCAACCCAGGCGACCTCGGGGTGGGTGTACATGACGCTGGGGATGACGCCGTAGTTGACGTGGCCGTGGCCGGTCTTGATGTACTCGATGGCGGCAACGGCCTCCTCCTCGGCCTTGTGGGCAAGCATGGGGCCGAAGGTGCAGTCACCGATGACACGGATGTGGGGGACCTTGGTGCGGTACTCCTGGTCGATGACCAGGCGGCCACGGTCGTCCTTCTCGATGCCGACCTTCTCCAGGCCCAGACCCTCGGTGTAGGGTCTGCGGCCAATGGCGACCAGGACGACATCGGCGTCCAGGGTCTCCTCCTTACCGCCCTTGGCGGCCTCAACACTCAGGGAGACGGTGGCACCGCTGTCGTCACCCTTGACGACCTTGGTGCCGGTCTTGAACTTGATGCCCTGCTTCTGCAGGATCTTCTGAGCCTGCTTGGCAATGTCGGCGTCCATACCGGGACCACCGATCTGGCCGAGGAACTCGACGACGGTGACCTCAGCACCGAGACGGGACCAGACGGAAGCCTACAACAACAAAGACCAACGAGTTAGCTGCGAACATTTTTGATAGTGAAAGAAAAAAAAATCCTACCATCTCGAGACCGATGATACCACCACCGATGACGACCATCTTCTTGGGGACCTCCTTGAGGGAGAGAGCACCAGTGGAGGTGATGATTCTCTTCTCATCGATGTTCAGGCCGGGGAAGGGAGTGGCCTCGGAGCCGGTGGCAACGATGATGTTCTTGCCGCGCAGAGTCTGCTCACCACCCTCGAGAAGGTTGACCTGGACGGTGTTCTCGTCGACGAGGGCACCGGTACCCTTGATGTAGTCGACACCGTTCTTCTTGAAGAGGAACTCGATACCCTTGGTCAAGCCCTCGACGGAGGTGTCCTTGGCCTTCATCATCTGCTCAAGGTTGAGCTTGACATCGCCGACCTCGATACCGCGCTTTTTCGTGTCGTGGAGGATCTGGTGGTACAGGTGGGAGTTGTTCAACAGAGATTTCGAGGGGATACAGCCGACGTTCAAGCAGGTACCACCGAGACGGCCACGCTTCTCGATACAGGCAGTCTGTTGAAGGCGGAAGAAAAAGAGGCGACCAAGGTTAGTTGTACAGCTTCACCGCATCGCTCAGCGGGGAGAAACCCGAATTTCGCACCTTGAGACCTTCCTGACCAGCTCTGATAGCAGCAACGTATCCAGCGACACCACCACCAATGATCACGACATCGTGCTCACCTGTCCCATGAAGCCAACGGTTAGCCGGGAACAGACCGGGAAAGGGTTTTGATCCGGAAGAGCAGGCATCGGCCGCAACAGGCCTCAACCTGTCCGGACAACGTCAGGACAGTTCGATCACCTACCCGACTCAGAGGCATAGCCACGTTTCGTGAACAGAGTGAGAGAAGGAGTGGCGATGAAGTTGGAAGGGACAGCCTTGGGGCCGGCAGAGCGGAGGGCAGCCCGCGGTGTCGCCCGCGGCAGGAGACTGCGGAACATGACGAGGGAATAGGAGAAGAAGCGAAGAGAGAAGGAATCCGAAGGAGGTCGAGATCAGAACAGACAACCAATCCTCCGAGTGAGCGAGGTCGGGAGAGGAGGGTAAAGGGGGGGAGTGGGGATAATTGCGGATGGAAGGAGGTTTGATTGAGGATAGGGAAAAAGGCGTCGGTGTTGGGACACAAGAAGCTTCTGAGGTTCGTTTGGCGGGCCGGTATTATCGATACTGTATTTCTCAGCGGCGTATGTAATCAGCCCGAGGCCCAGCCAGCATCGGGTCAATCCGGTTACTGACTAAACTCATATCCATGTTGCCGATGCAGAAAAGATTGGGTTGTAACTCCAGTAAAAGATGATATATCTAAGGTATTAAGTCATGAATCCGGACCGGATTATTCTGATGATTGACTATCGGCCTTTCTTAGGCCTCTTCAGTCGGGAATTGAGGTTGAGATTCTGACTCTGTGACGGAAGAAACAGCCCGGTAAGGATCGGTACTGGAAGATTACCGCACTGTCCCAACTGCAAAGGGCAAGGACAGGAACATCACGGTCGTCACCGCCCGGCCGTCTTCTAACAGTTGGCAGTAGAACTGTCGAAAGAGTACAGTACAACAATCATCACCGTCATCCACCACATACGACGCTCTTCAGCGGCTTGCATCGGGCATGAGCCCGGCAGGGACTGCAGAAAAGGCAAACCGCTCAAGATTACTCGATACTTGTTCAATCATTACCCGCGGGTAAGCTAGGATGAGCACGGATAACAGCGCGGCTGTCTTGGCCTCAGGTCCAAAGGGCATGGTGCCGCTAGTATCACAAAGATGCTGGGAGAGAACTGCGCTTTTCCATCAGGGAGCAGAGTCAGTAGCCCCGACTCTTCCAAAGAGGCAATACCAGCGGCAATTTGTAGACTTGTGTATTGTTGCAGTATGATTAGGCGACATACTGGTATGAGTAGTTGGGAAGAAGGGGCTCTGATGCGGCGTAGACCGCACAATATATCTTCTCGGTCGAGGAGTCAGTCTATCGGATACATTCATCCGGAATCGTTGCATCCCCAGATTACCACGGACATAGAGCGAACATCACTCTCTCAGTAGACTGGCAGTGTCCCAGTCATTCTCCTACGGATCTACTGGCCTGAACTCGTTCACTTAGGCCTGGTGGAAGGTGGAACAGTCATTCCAGCAACCGCATGATCCGGTTGGGACGATGATGTACGTTGAAAAATGGTTGTAGATCGTGCCTTGGCACTATGGCACTCTGCTGTTCCGCTATTTTGTACAGCAAGTCAGCTAGTTTAATTAGAATGGATGGGTTTTCGAAGAACACATCAGCGGGAAGCACATAGCTATTCTTTTCAAGCAGCACCCTGAGATAGGAACACCCCATCCTTGTGTAATGAACATCCACGAGTGGTATTCATGCTGGCTGCACTGCACAGCCAGTCCATGGTAGGTGTACTTGAACCTTGAAAGGCAAGCCAACTGCCCGAACAGGCGAGAGTCGGAGGAGATCCGCCCGATGTTCCCCAGCTAGCCATCCCCATTCCCCGCATAGGGATGGAAGAACGAGGGGTAAACTAGCAAACACATCTGGCACATCTCGTGCTGCCTGATTTGTCTATCTCCACGGTCTATCTCAATTATGCAAGTCTCTACGCTTGCTCTAGCAACGGCCACTGCATGGTCCATGAGTCACCTTTCTGGGACAGGCTCGACTGGTCCCGTCACGATTGAGGGATCGTCTTGTCATTGATATGGATGTGTAGATTCTGACTTCGGGATTAGTTTACCCGGAGTGATGATGTCTGTCTTTCTTCACAACAACTAAGCCCTGTCACTTAGGCTATGAGCTTTCCAAAGAAGAAACTTACACATTCATACTTCACCTCATGTTCAACGATCAGATGATCCTCACAGACAGCATGAACACACACATATCGAACCCCCCGTGAGCAAACCCTAGCACCCCCGAATCGAATCTCCTCCCCGAACCGAAACTCCAGAACCGAATGCCTCCCCCCCCCGAAATCCCGTCCGCAAACCCCAGCTTTTCCCGCAAGCCCCCATAAATGGATGATAACGGCCCAGCCCCCCAAACCCCCACCCCCATCGCGTCACATTCAACTTTCAGGGTGGATCCTGGTGCCAGGGGGGGGGGTGAAGAACAGAACAGGGAGTGGCCTGAAGTTGTAACCCCGTCAGTGACGGCATGACCCATTTACCCACTCCGGCGGAAAACCCAGGGTTCGCACGTCTTACTTAGCATCCCAATCCCACCGGAATGTAACCATATTTGACATGATCGTGGGGGTTTTGGCTAGGGTTCACCTGCCAACTCTAACGCTGCGATTGCTTCCACTTCTGCACGCTCCCAAGCGGGGACAGCCGATCATCATGTCTAGATTGATGCATGTCTTTTGGAGGATTGCTTGTAGCGAATCCACGATTATTTAAGTAGTTTGTGTGACCCCGTAGTTTTACCCCCCATGCTATATTGCTCTTGTTCTTTTGGTGGATGCGTTCCCCCCCCCCCACCGCGGTTGGTTGTCTTCCCTGTACGTTCTGCCTTCGACCACCGGTGCACAGTGGCTTTGATATTCGATACAAAAGAGGATAGCTTGGACTGCATGCAAGCGCGGTTAATGGCAATAAATCACGCTCACTGATCCGCCAATACCGAATATCTCAACAATGGACATCATACCATCATGGAATGTCGTCCACCGCTTCGAGAAGCGCAAGCTCCTCATCGCCATCAACAGCGTGGCCGCCCTCTCGATTCTCTTCTTCGGCTACGACCAGGGGGTGATGGCGGGCGTGAACAACTCCAAAGACTACATCGACCTGATGGGGTTCGGGTACACGAAGATGGAGAACGGGGAGTTGACCGCCGTGGTCACGGATAGTCTGCTGCAGGGGGGCATTGTTTCAGTCTACTATTTGGGGACGCTGTGTGGCGCGCTCCTTGGGGGCTGGGTCGGGGACAAGATCGGGCGCATCAGGACGATTGCCGTCGGGGCGGCCTGGGCGGTGGTTGGCGCCTGCTTGCAGTGTTCGGCGCAGAATCACGATTGGATGATTTGCGGTGAGTTGGGTTTCTCCGAATTGGATGCACGCGATGCAGAGAGGTGGGCTGTTGCTAATGGGAACCAATGCAGCGCGCTTGGTCAATGGGATTGGGACTGGGATCCTGAATGCAATCGTCCCGGTTTGGGCGACTGAGACAGCGGAGCATACGTCGCGTGGCCAATTCATTGCGATCGAGTTCACACTGAATATCTTCGGTGTGGTGGTGGCTTATTGGTTGGAGTTGTACGTATCCAATTTCCAATTCTTGATCCTGGTTCAACAACACATGCTAACAGAATGTAGCGGTCTGTCCTTCATCGACGGCGGCAAGTCCGCGTTCCGCTGGCGGTTTCCCATCGCGTTCCAGATCATCTTCCTCCTCATGTTGTTCGGGGTGGTCTGGTTCTTTCCCGAGTCGCCCCGTTGGCTCGTCAAAGTCGGTCGCGAGCAAGAAGCGCGCTACATCCTCGGCCGGCTTCGAGGCAACACGGGGGATGATGCTGTGCGCGCCGAGGCGGAGTTCCGGGACATCCAGAGTGTGGCCGAGCTGGAGCGGTCGATGAACCACAGCACTTCATACCTGGCGATGCTGTTTGGATACAAGACGGGAAAACTGCACCTGGGCCGACGGGTGCAACTGGTCATCTGGCTCCAGATCATGCAAGAATGGGTTGGTATAGCGGGCGTCACAGTTTGTGCGTTGACCCTTTATTCTCCCCTCTTCTGTCGTTTGCCCGGACTCTTATCGTGACTCCAAAACAGATGCCCCGACAATCTTCAGCATTGCAGGTTTTGACTCGATGAAAAGCCAATGGCTCAGTGGGTTGAACAATATCTTCTACATGGTAAGCCGCGTGCCCGGTCACGATTGTGTACGCACATTTCTAACGGGCAAAACCCAGTTCGCCACCCTCGTCTGCGTCTTCACGCTTGATCGCATCGGCCGCCGGTGGACGCTCTATTGGGGATCCACCGCGCAGGGGATCGCCATGTTTCTGGCGGGAGGCTTCTCGCGGCTGGCCATCAATGCTCGGGAGGCGGGCCACAGCGATAAGGCGGCCTCGTTTGGTGCGGCGGCCGCTGCGATGATCTTCATATTTACCTCTGTGTTTGGCGCAACATGGCTGACCGGTATGTCTTATGATGGGATGCGTTCAGGAGAGAGGCTAAAGTTGATATATGTAGTGCCATGGATCTACCCAGCCGAGATCTACCCGCTTGCGGTGCGGGCCCGCGGCAACGCCTGGGGAGTCGTTGGGTGGAGCATTGGCAATGGCTGGTTGGTTAGTATGCCCCTAGCGAGCCCGTGCTTTTCATTTTGCTATACCCGTTAGAGAGCGTGGTATTCGTGGACCACGGAGACTGAAGGAATGACCGGAGCTGATGGAGATGACTTGGAATGGACGAGGTTCAGAGGATTCCCAGTGCGGGAAACCAGACGAACCACGAGCGCGGCTACCATGACTGTACACACGCTAACGACTCTCTCTTAGACTTTGCTATGCCCCGTCATGTTTAGCGCCATCGGCGAGAAGACCTTGTATGTGTTTGCAGCGAGCAACGTCATTACGATCCCGATGGTCTGGGCGCTGTACCCGGAGAGTAACCAGCGGACCTTGGAGGATATGGATCTGTTGTTCGCGGCGGACTCTCCATGGGTGTGGGATGCCGAGAAGACGTTTGCAAGGTTGAAGGCGGAGAATCCGGGGTATGTTGAGACTACGGCCAGGAAGGGGAGTTTGGTGGTGGAGCATGTGAATGTATAGGTATACCTAAGTGAGTTAAGTATGTAGCTAGTTTAGCGCTATTTAGACAAGACCCTAGCTTGACCGCCGGATTAGCGTGAATCTCTTAATCTTTTGAACCTCTATCGTACTTCCAGACCAGCTAACCTGGTTAAATTGATAAACATAGACTACCTTACCTAGTAAGTCGATACTGTACTACAGTACCTGGCAGCATAGAGTGCATACCGGATAACCTTCCGAACCGAAGAGAAACAACCCGCAATGATTGGTCAATTCAACAGCAACCCCGACCTCATCTCCATACCATACCTCCCCCCCAATCCCCTCGACTACTTATACCGGCACCTCCTAGGTTGAATCCCACGAAAATCTCAATAAGTAAAAGGTCTTTCACAGTTGCAAGCCGCTAACTCAGCCACCCTCCACTTGACCAAGGTAGCCAACCACCGTAACCTCCAGAAACACGAACAAAGCTGACTAATCACAACCCTCCAAAGGACCGGCGCGTCCATCCATACCATCACAGAAGCTGCCTACTAAAGCACAAACAAAAAAATCAACAAGCTAGTCTGCCACCTCTCAGCATATCTGACCCGGCAGACCACAGAGACATTCTAAAATACAACACCAAACCCATTATTCTCAACCGCTCACCTCAATACATACATACTACCAGCACACAAGATACCAATGCCAACCCCCACAACCACAACCACAGCCACCCCAAATCCCAATTCCTCCCCAAGGTCCAAAACCCTCCACCGTCTCCACACCCACCCAACCCTCCCTCCGCACCGCCGCCGCATCTACCAGACCCTACTCACCGTCCCCGCCGGCCGGTGGACGACCTACGCCGCCCTGGCGCGGCACCTGGGCACGAGCCCGCGGGCCATCGGCGCGGCGATGCGGCTGAACCCCTTCGCGCCGGAGGTGCCCTGCCACCGCGTGCTGGGCGGTGCTGGGCGGCTAGTCGGGTACTCCGGGGGCCCTGGGGCGGCGCCGGGCAAGGCGAGGGAAGGCGTGGGGATGAAGCGGCGGTTGCTGGAGGCGGAGGGGGTGCGCTTTGATGGGGAGGGGGTGGCGCGCGGGGTTTGTTTTGTTGAGTTCGGGGAGGTAGCCTCTTCATCTTCTTTATCGAATTGAAATGAGAGGGACGGGGGAGGGGGAGGGTTTTATTTTCGGGATGTATGAGGTGGTGTGGGATGTAGGAAGTAGGTAGGGAAATTGTTTGTGTCTAGCTGGAGGTGAGGGTCAAGGTCATATCGTATAGGTATGTTCGTGTATAGTATCTCTAGTAATATAAGAAACCAGTTAAAGTGACAGTAAAAAGGAAAGACAAGATGCAACTGCAAATGCAAAAAGGCTGCTGCTGATACATGACACCGAGTCTGATGTACAATCCAACCCCACCCAAAACGCCGTCTTCCCTCCCCCAGTCCACCTCCCTCACTCTATTGTGGGGTTCATTCATGTAGACATGACACAAGATGAGATAACATGACATAGGAAAGGACATTAAGGACATAAAACATAAAACATAAACATAAACATAGACATCTGACAAAGGAAAGGGGTATCTCTATTCATAACACACAGGGACCAAAAACACAAGACAAGACAAGACAAGGCGAAGCAGGCCACACAGACATCCATCTAAGCTGTCTTGGCCCGCTTGGCTGCCCGCCGCTTGGGCACGTCCCAGTGGTGGAAGGAGCGCAGATGCTCGATCAGATGGTCTCGACGAGGGAACCCATTGCCATCCTTGCGGAGACATTCCTGCACGGGACAGTCCTGGAAGACAGGATTGTGGACGCTGGTCTGATGACGTTTCAGGTCGGCTGGCCGAGTAAACGCCTTGTTGCAGTCCTCGCAGGTGTAGGGCTTGACGGGTCTGCAGGGTCCAGAGGTTAGCTTTGTTGACTAACAACCGAAAAAGAAAACACCAAGAAGAAACAAAGAAGAAAACAGAGAAAAAAAAAATGGGGGAACTCACTGGGACGCGTTGAGGGTCTCGTAACTTTCAACGGGAGAGTAAACAACTTCCGGGTTCGGGCTGGATTGGGTGGGGATCCACTCGATATTGGGCACCGGGAACGAAGACGGTTGCATTGGAAGCTGGTGGAACGAGTAGGCTTCGGGCGAATAGACCATGGGCGAGGCCGTAAAGGTGTTGTTGTTGCTGGGGTAGTACATGTCGAAGGTCGAAGAGGCCACCGTCTGGGGCGAACTGAACGGAGTCGAGTCGTATGATGAGGGCTCGTAGGTGGGCTGGACGAAAGACATCTCCGTCCCTACCATCCCATACAACGACGGGTGGCCCATGTATCCCAGATTCGATTGCATTGACTCTTCACTGCTGGTGGAGTACGAGTGTTCCATTGGTGGACATTCAAGCATGGGAGGGCTCTATAAGGGTTCCAGTCAGCCTTGATATCTTGTGATAGATAACCCTCACACAGCCTGGGACTCACCATTGCAGACATGGCATACATTGTGGAGTCAAGAGAAGGAAAATAAGAAAGTATATACAACGGTGAAGACGCGATGAAAGAAAGATTGAGAGTGAGAGAGTTTAAGTAAATCAATAGTCTGCAAGGGTTCTTTTATCCAAGAGAGACTGTGATACTAGTGAATAACAAGCAAAAGCGTGAACCAGCCAGACTGGGCTTTCCGGGTTTTTATAACCATTGTCTTCTTCGATCAGGTCAGGTCGACTACGTCGCACTTGCATTAGACGCGGCCGGTGCTTCTCCACTGCGAAAACAGCCCAAACGGCCAGCGCCAGAGAAGCTAAGCAACACGAACGCACCCACGGCGACATCATCAGGTGAGCGCGCTACGGACTAGTATGATCTTCCACTAAAAATGCTAGGGTGGGTGGGAAAAAGAAGGGAAGAGTGGATTGGGAAGGAGAAATGAGGGGAGGGGAGGAGGGGGGGGGGGAGGATAGACTCAATGCAGCCTGGGAGCCCTGGGAAATGGGAACCGGGAATAATGCAGGAGGAATGGGAGGAGAAAACAACAACCACAGTAAACCACACAGCCCCCGCCAGCGGGGCACTGCCATTGGCGAGCGGGCAGATTGCAAACCTTTGGAAGTGAAGCGATCCCGGCTAGTGCTGACGCTAGAAGCACCGAAGAACCAAAGAACCTTCTTCCAAGCTTCTAGGGGCGATTAGGGTCGGTTGATTGGTGGTTGGCACGGAAAGTAACCAGCGACGGACTCCACTCCGGCCCGAGAAAAAAGAGGAGCCATTCCAACCAAAACCAGCCAAAGTCCAAGACACTCTGCGGTGAAGGCTGACACTCGAATCAACCTAATCATCCTGATATCGTCATAGGGAAGAGCGATCCCCCACATCAACTGAGAAGCATTCCCGAAAGGAAATTCAGGTGATAAATAATAATTCAAACGATTCGGTGGACCGTCGGCTGCTACCTTCTTAGTCGCAAGTTGGGCCTCGATGAAGGACTGGCCAAGGTTCTGGAAAAAAATGATGCGGGCTAGGATCGATTCCTGACTCGTTCCAACAAGACCGCCATTTCCCTTCGACCTTCTCTTCATCTCCTCGCTTTCCCCCTTCCCCAAGGCGGGAAACTTTGAAGCGGAGCCTGCCGACGGAGCTCACCAGGTGCATTGGCGAGACGAGCCTGAACGGAAAAGCCTCCCGATGATGTCGACCGGAGATACAGAAAGTATCAAAAGTACTGCGCTCTATGTCTGTACTGTAGCGCAGCTGTCACGAGCCGCCCTTGTGCAGGAGTCATCGAACCCCGGGGCCATCGGGCAAAAGAGATGCAGATACTAAGTAAAATGCAGCTTGGGGAAAGGCGGGAGGAACGTGATCGCAGCGAGCGAATGGGGAAAGATCGAATCGATCGGGATGGATCGTGGGTGGTTGGCGATAAGAGCTGAGAACAGACTGCAGTGCGAAGTTCAACCTGCAAAACCCTTCGAAATTATTGACGAGGGAATGGAATACCCTCGCAGTTCGGCACGGGCTTCCCGGGGCGTTACTTTTTCTGTGGTTTCCTTTTTTTTTTTTTTTTCTTCTTTTTTTCGTTTTCTTTTTCTTGTTGTCGCTAAAGAACGATCGATTTCGCTCTTGTTCAATCCCCGACAGCCTTGTTGGAAGTGCCAAGAAGCGAAGCACGGGTGGTGGAATTCGGTCTGGGGAAACGAAAGTAACAATGACGATGACGATGATGAAGAAGGCAAGATGAAGGCGAGCAGGAACCGAAAACTTTACTATGTACTTACAATCAATACCCGCACAGCCCCTCTTGCGGTCAGAATGAGGTTGAATCTGACACTGCCAGCCCTCAAGCTGTTCCTGCTCCTCCTGCGCGTGTAAAATCGCGCATGACATGAAGCTCTCTATCGTTCCTGCGGGAGGAGGAAGTGAGGCGACTTGCGCGATATTTCCCCAGACCAGCATGCTTCGTTCTTATTGATGCTTCGCGGGATTACTTGTTGTCTTGTTCATGACTTACTGGTCACCGGTCAACTTGACGCTTGGTACTATACAGTACAGCCTGGAGAAGGACCGAGTTATCCGAGCAGGGCTCTTCGCGAGGTGGTCTGCCGCGGTACGTTTGCTCGATTAACAACCAAGTTACTGTAGATATCACGAGCCTCTCAGTAATCCACATCTCACCGTTGATTGACCGGCAATAGAAGAACCGCCCGTCATCCGTGCCAGACAACCTGGACCAGCTAGCTACTTACTCTTCTCAGTATCTACAACGGACCTACCTAGCTAAGGCAGGGTCTTTTGGTCTCGACTGGTCTTTCCTTCGATGAGTTGATCCAAGCGGCGGCAATTCATCATCGCAGGACCCATTCTTCCTTATCCTCGAACATCCTTAATTTCCTCTCGGTCTCCACGGGTGTGATACCCAATCTACAAATCGATTCTAGCTCCAACGACCTTGAGCGATGGAGCTGGAGTACGTACGTCCGTACGGTGCACCCACTCTTGAGGAAGAGGGTCGCGGCTCAAGCACCACCTCACTCACGGCAGGCAACTGCATAGAAAACCCTCCAAGTCTTGTTCCCTGCAGGTCTTCTACGATCCAACTAATTTCCTTTGTCTTTCCCATCTTCTCCATTGAGTTCCCTACGGACCCTCCTGCTTCCCGCGCGCTCATTGCCGCCGCTAAAGGCATTAATTCGGCTCCCCCAAAACCAAAATAAAAAAAAACAAAAACAAACAAACCACTTTTTTCCCGCTTGTTCTCGGGTCCGTGCTGGGGGAAAATCTTCAATTCTTCCCACCTCGTCAACTATTTTTACACCGACTTTCTACCGTACCATCTGATATACGGTGAGAGCAGAGCGAATCAACCGAGCACGGAGCACACGATGTTCATCTTCATGGTTCTTGATGACGTCTAGTCTTTAAGGTCTCCAAAAAAAAACTCTGCACTTTCTTTCTTTGTTCTCTCGATTGTGTTTTGACCCCCTCCCACTGGATTCTGTCCGGCTTGCATGATTCCCCGAGTCTTAGTCTATCTATCCACCCCCCGGTCTTCCTGGGACCTACCTAGTCCGGAGTCTAGTTACGGTGCATTGGAGTACATCAGGTACAGTACATACATATGTACTGTACTCACAGTTGAAGAACTGCTTGCTGCATGCCATGTCGCAGATCTGCCGACTTGCCTTCCAAGAACGCAAAGAGAAGACCCGAATATACTTTCGGTAGATGCACTGCAGTTTCCCTCCGCCCCTCGTCCCTCCCTGAGTCCGTACTATGAAACCACCACCCAAGACTCCGTTTCAGTTCCATTCGAGTATTCTCTTCCCCCTTCCCCTTTCCCTTCCCCTTCCCCTCTCTCTTTCCCCTCCCTCCTTCCCCTCCCCACCTTTCCTTTCATCAGAACATCAGACCTTCCAAGTTGCAACCCACACAGAGCAGGATAAACCTGGCATTCACAGCCTCTGTCCCCGCTGTTCTAGAACCTCGAATGCAGATCTTACCCCGGAAGGTCCTACACATCTACTCAAGACCGAGACTATCCGGCCGAAGAACGAAGACAACAACCTCGATGGGGGTGGAGGGGAATGCTTAGTGTCCATTCCAAATGGTGTTCAGATCAAGACAAGAGGCCAAGAAGGTCATCTTCAGCGACAACAACAACAACAACAACAGTAACCCTTTAATGCACCAAGGTCGAACTAACCAACCAACCAAAAAGGTTTCTTCTCCTTCTTGCAGTGTGATTTTATTTGCCCGTCAGTCAGCCCCCCATGTTCAAGAATAAAACAGCACAGAAACTCCCAGTTTGTGTCCCCCTATTCGTAAGACTTCGTCCCTTTGCATGCTTTGGAAGAGAAAAACAACAACAAACAAACCCAGCAGAGACAGAAAGAAAAGCAAATCCACACAGATCCCAGATAAGATCAGAAACAAGACAGATCGGTCACTTCGAGAACATTGCACCGAGGTATAGTAACCTCCTGCAACCGGATGGGCTGCTGTCAGGAAGAGCAAGAAAATAAAAAGTCTTTTGTTTTTTTTGTTCCTTATGATTTCTCTCTGTTCTGGTTTCTTCATCTACAATGGTGAAATCATGGGGGAGCAAATCAAACAAACATTCAACACAAGTACACAAACAACATCTCGTCAGTTTGCCTCGAATTATTGTGGTTCGCATGTTGATGGTTGTGGAGGGTGGGTTGTTTTATAGTTCGTCCTCAAGGTACTTGTAGACGAACTTGAAGTCCGCTTTACGACGGTTCATCCTGTAGTCCCAACGTTAGTTTCCTCTCGTGTTGAACCGGCTTACTTTCACAAAAAAGGAGAAAAGCAACAGGGAAGAAGAAGAGGCGGGGAAGAAACATACCAGGTGCTCTCGTAGTCGAAGAAACGATACGTTCCCTGTTCGAACTCCTCGGTGATGGTTTTGGGTTCTTCGTGGCGCTGGAACCAGGTCTGGTATTGCTTGTGGAACCGCCAGCTCTGGTTCTTCAGCGCCTTGGCGGCCAGGTACTGCTGGTACGAGCCCTGGCGGTAGTAGAACAGATAGAACAGCGTATCCGTGTCGATGCGACCGGTTTCGTACAGACGCGGGTCGTCGAAGATCGGGAGAGGTTCCTGGGGGTAGTAGAGGGGGGTGTTGTACGGGTTCTGCGGCTTGTAGTGACGGGGTTTCTCCGCGTCGGCCGGCTCGGGGCAATTGGCCAGCGAGGCCGCCAGCAACCGCTGCACCGACGGGGACGGGTTGGTCGCACTGGCCGCGGCACGGCTCTTGGTCACTTCGAACGACTGGATCAGATCCTGCAGGCCCGGCGGGAGGTGATAGATGGATTCCTCGCTCTCGCGCGACGAGTCCTCCTTGCCGCTTGACTCGCCGTTGGTGGTGTTCGCCGTCGTCGTCGTGGGTCGGGATTTGTTGTTGTTGTTGGTGGTGGTGGTGATGTTGTTGCTAGTGCTGCTGCCGCTACCCGAGGCCTCAACCTTCTCCATGGCGGGGGTCTGCGGGACACCTCGCGTCGACGTGCTTGCGCTGGCCACGTGCGGACTCTCAGCAGGGGTTTTGGATCGGCTCCCACTACTCGACTCCTCGCCCGCTATCGTGACTCCTGACGATGACTTCACCGCGGGTTGTGCGGGAGCGATGCTGGGGGATGCGGTTGTGGAGGTGGAGGGTTTGGATGCAGGTACGGCGTGGGGGAAAGCGGGGCTGGCGCCTGGCGGTGGCGGCAGAGGGGCGATGCCCACGCCGTTCTTGTCGCTGGCAGCAGCTGCAGCCGCCGCCGAGGCGTACTTGAGTGTCTCTCCCGGCAGGCGCGTTGGAGGCGGGGCGGGTTTCATGCCGGAGGTGGCACTTGTCGACGTTACGGGATGGAGAGTGGCCAGCACGGGAAGAGGGGACTTCATCTGCGCGGAAGGTCGTCGGGGTCCCGAGGTATCGGGCTTCGCTTTCGGCTTGACAACCTCCGGTTCCTCTTCTTGAACTGACTGGGTATCTTGCGACGATACACGGTCGTTGTCGCCCGCGATGCCGAACTGCATCTCCGCCTCGTTGTCCATGTTCAGATCATCGTATAGGGTCTCGTCTTCGCCCGAGTAGTCCAAGTTGTGCCCGTCTTCCACATAGTACTTGATACTCTCCTTGAGATCCAGGACTTGTTGCGTCTCGACGTTGCCGTTCTGCAGCGACCGTAACAGCAGTTCCAACTTGTTGACGTGCCACTTATGACGCTCCGTGATCCGCGAGATATCCGATAACCGATTCGCCTTGGCAACGTCCTTCTTCCCCTTCTTCATCTGCATATGTAACGTCTCCTCTTCTGCCTCCATAGCCTCGATCCGTTGTTGTAGCTCGTCGACCATGCTCGATAAGAAGTCGCATGTCTCCACCTTCTCCTTCTCCTTGGGATCCAATCTCGATGCTGCCGACAGGCCCTCCTTGGAGTATGCTTTCGTCTTCATCTCCTTCTCGACGGCCTTGAACTGCTCCATACACTAAAAGCCTCTGTAGTCAGCAAAACAAGCTCTCCGCCTCGCCAAGGCATTGAAGGGCGGAGAGGGATGCGCACGGTCTCGATGGCTCTGCGCTGCTCGAGCAGCGGACCCTTATCTTTCACCTCATTTCCAGAGGCCCACGACTTGATCTGATCTCGATACCGTTGGAGCTTCTTAATCTCGCGCTTCAGGTTTTCCTCGAGCTTATCCCGCTGAGTGGGATTCGTCGTCGAGCGGATCTTCTCGTAGATGCCTTCGAATGTTACGATGCCTTCGGCGACCTTCTTGAAGGTCTTGTCAATCTCCTGCTGCGTTTTTCGGGACGTCATCGCGGCGACCGTTTTCACATGAACAGGAGAGGGGGGAGGGACTCGACGAAAATTAACGTGGGTGATGTGAGACTCGGGATGGCCGAGGAACGGGATGGGATGGATGGGAGGGAAGATCGCAGGGCGGATTGAAGAGAATTTCGGATGGTCTAGCGCGTGGGGGCAAGTTACTGCCTGCGCAGCTCTTTGTTGACAAAAGAACGCGGGGGGTTGTGATTGTTTCTAGGGACACAGTGAAGGAGTGTCAATCTCCTGATACTTTGGTCCTGGTCTCTCAGAAGCTGGGATAATGCCCGAAGCAGTAGGCGGTCACGGAGGATGGGCATTACCGAGCCCGGGGGCGGCGAGCGAGCGGGCAACTCTTAAACTACTGTTCATCTCTCCTTCGTCATACATGACCATGGTGTGCGTTGGTGAAATCTACAACAATAACTGTCTTTATCTTCGGGTTTGCAGGATTTGAGGTAGGAGGCTGAATTTGAACACCCCTTTTGGTGTTAGTTCTCTGTACAGGAGTGCGCTGACATAATTTCCAGCATATTAGTTAGCAGATCATTGTTGTCCAGTGACAGTGAGTAGTAGTATGCGCCGCCGGTTGCAGCTACCCGCTTGCCGCAACAAGGCCGATATTGACAAGCCGTTCATAAACCCTCGCAGACTTCCTTACCGCTGAACTGCCACGACCATATTCTTGATTATCGTCTGGCGCATTGCAATATGAAGGGTGCGCAATCTATGAGAAATGCGTGCGAAACCAAACAACTCTGACTGATGCCTCGCGCAGCGGTACTTCAACGAGTCAAGTCCGCCTCGGTCACCGTCGACGGGCAACTTGTGTCGTCGATCGGCCAGGGGCTGCTAGTGCTTGCCGGTGTAGGCAAAGAGGACACGGAAAAAGATGCCGATACGATGGTTGGGCGAATACTGAAAGCTAAGCTCTGGTCCGATGAGAACGAGAAACCGGTGAGACGAGGCTCGCGATCGCTCGGTTACCTGCAGCACACATCTAACGCGGCGCATTGCAAATCTAGTGGAAGAAGAACGTCCAAGATATCGACGGAGAAGTGCTTTGCGGTACAGTCATATCCCCATGGATAGTCTCTTGGATGCGCTTCGCTGACACCTCTGGCCGTTCTCCACCTAGTCTCACAATTTACCCTCTATGGCGAGTTGAAGAAGGGAAGCAAGCCGGACTTCCACGCCGCAGCCGATGTGGAGACTGCGCGCAAACTCTACGACTACTTCTACCAAAAGCTGAGCAACAGCTACAAGCCTGAACGGGTGAAGAATGGCATCTTCCAGGCGATGATGGAGGTCGAGCTCAAGAACGACGGGCCGGTGGGTGTAGATTACCGCAGTGAAGATGCGGTGGTAAAGCTCTCGCTTCTCTTCCTGCTTCCTTCACTGATGTTGCTGGGCTGACGCTGATTGTTTTTGCGACTGATATAGGTTACGATCGAGATCAACACCCAACTACCCAAGAAAGAGAAGAAGAAGACAGAGGCCGAGCCACAAGAAACGCAGCCTCAGACTTTCGAGTTCAAGATACCCGCGGAGTTGTTGGATTGATTGATGGAAGGGCGTTACGATGAATCTACGAGGAGAATGATCCCTCGAGATTCAGGTTGGTTCAGGTGCATATAAAAAGTTCCTTATAGACATACCCATAATAGATTTTGGGGGGATTGGGGTGGATGGGAAGGGAGGGCGTTTAGAGTCCAGAAGCATAGAATTCCCCAGATTGCGTTACTCGGTACGAACAGCAGTAGGAGCGTAGATCCACTCCTATCAGACCGCGATCGATCGCGAACTAGTGTAAGTTTCCCCCCATCTATCCATCAATCAAGACGGAGAGAGGCGGCATGTAACGGGGTTGGGCGCAGCGGAGGAGGAGCAAAGAAAAGAAAAGAAAAGAAAATACGTACTGTACGAACTGTCCAGTCCGTCGTAGGCGGAGGCAGTTCAGTGGCAGAGGCAGAGATTCCCGGCCGGCGCCTAAAAACGATGGAAGCTTCTTGAAGCATCGCAAGCAGAGGGCCCGGCCCAGCCCACTTCTTACCTCTTTAGTCCTGGACTTTCTCCTCTTGCCTTTCCTTCCTTCTCCTCATTGACTCTGTCTGTCACTCAGCCATTTTATCCACTTACCCATTGTCTGACTTCTTGTCCTTATACTTTCTACTTCTTTCCTCCCTCTCCTGCGTGCTCATTCACGCCCACCTCTTCCGCTTTCCCGCCTACCATTCTCCTTCACTCCCCACACATATTCATCATCCAGCACCATGGCTGAGTCTCAGCGTGTGTTCCGACTTCCCTTCTTCCCCGCCGCGGGGACCCAGCTTTGAAGCTCCGATAACTGACCCATTGCGCTCCTACAGGCCGTCCCCGTGTCTTCTTCGACATTCAAATCGGTGAGCAGAAGGCCGGTCGCATTGCTCTCGAGCTGGTCAGTAGTCCTTTCGTTCTGTTTACGGACATTTCCTTTCCTATGCCGAGGTCGCCGGTTTTGGAGTAAGAGCCTTGCTAACTTACCCCGCCCGCGCAGTTCCACGATGGTATAGTCCCGATCTAAGCTCCACGACTTTTGTCTCGGACACACTCTGACCATACAATAGCTGTTCCCAAGACTGCAGAGAACTTCCGCGCACTCTCCACAGGCGAGAAGGGTGTGGGCAAGCAGGGCAAGCCATTGAGCTTCAAGGGTACGATTTGACCATTTCCGGCCCCGATTTTTTTTTCCCTCCTTCCCACTTCCCGTCCTCCCCGACATTGGTCCTCGCAAGCCGAAACTTACCACCCATGACTTGACCAGGTTCCATCTTCCACCGCGTGATCAAGCAGTTCATGATCCAGGGTGGTGACTTCACTGCATTCAACGGCACTGGCGGCGAATCCATCTACGGCGAGAAGTTCCCCGACGAGAACTTCGACCTCAAGCATGACCGGCCTTTCCTCCTCTCCATGGCCAACTCCGGCCCCGGCACCAACGGCAGTCAGTTCTTCATCACTACTGTCCCCACTCCTCACCTTGACGGCAAGCACGTCGTCTTCGGCGAGGTAATCAACGGAAAGAGCGTTGTTCGCAAGATTGAGAACATGTCTACCCAGGCAGACAAGCCCACCACGGACGTCACCATTGTGGACTGCGGTGAGCTTACCGGCCAAGACTACGAGGATGCCGACAAGCAGACCCCTGATGCTACTGGCGACCCCTACGAGGATTTCCCCGATGACCACCAGGGCGAGCAGCTGAGTGCTCCTGTGTGCTACAAGATCGCCGCTGAGTTGAAGAACTTCGGAAACGCCGCCTTCAAGAGCGGTAACATCGCCCTTGGTCTTGAAAAGTACCAGAAGGGTTTGCGCTACCTCAACGAGTTCCCCGAGCCCGACGAGCAGGACCCTAAGGAGCTTGGACCCCAGATGAAGGCTCTCCGCTTCACCCTCCACTCCAACTCTTCCCTCTTGGCGAACAAGCTCGGCCAGTTCAAGAACGCTCAGACTTGGGCTACTTACGCCCTCGATGTGGCTGCTGCCGCCGAGGCCAAGGATGCCGATAAGGCCAAGGCGTACTACCGCCGTGCCGTCGCCCTGAGCGGCCTGAAGGAGGAGGACGAGGCCCTGAAGGACCTCCAAGAGGCCGACCGCCTAGCCCCCGGTGACGCTGGTATTACCAATGAAATCGCCAAGGTAAAGAAGGCCCTTAAGGATCGCGTGGCTAAGGAGCGCGCTGCCGCTCAGAAATTCTTCTCGTGAGAGACGAGACGTGACTGTCCGTCATGATTCATGAATTCATGATTTAGCATTACTTCTGCTACTTGCACTTCCAGAAAAAGTGACGCAATCTACCTTCCCATCTCACCCACTTAGTCTAATGGTTCCGACCCCACTTCCATATGTCGCAATCGCCGCGTGTATGCATACACACATCCCCAATATCGACCCTGCGAAGTCAGTAGCTCGTGGCTTTCACGCACAAGCCCCGTTGATGCTTCTATTCCTGCCTACGGAGCAGCATGGGTATTTCAGCAGTTTTTGCTTCCCAGCCCCCGGAGTCAATTCTATCTTTCAACTAGACATATCCTGATAGTGTAGGAGAGAATGAAGAGACTGGTGTTTTCAGGCAGAATAGATTATTTGTGCATTGCATGTTTGTCTTGGATTGAAGGCCGGCGATTCTTTTTGTGCCCAATCATTTAAGAACATATCGACGAAGCAGCGAGTAGAAGAGGAAACAGGTATAACAATCATGAATCATTAAAGGAGGGTGTACGAGCATGTAGCAAGCTTGCTTGTCGTCCGGGTTTCGGCCGGGCTGACAGCTCAATGAAAATCCTTTTCGGCGAGGAACTGCTCATATCGTGGCTTGCACTTGCGGCGCCAACTCTTGCCCCAGATCAGCATCGGCACGCCCATTAGCATGGAGAGCACGACCAAGATGCCGTAGAAGGTAAAGGTCCAGCCGTAATTGGTGCCGTCAATGAAGTCCTGTACCGTGAAGGAGATGACGAAGTTGATGATGGAGGAGCAGCAGGCTAGAATGATGACTAGTTCTCCAGATATCTGTTTTTATGGTTAGATAGTCAGAGCCGAGATACAGGGTGAAGGGGAAGCAAAAGCAAGCATCGGCATGGGAGGGAAGGGTTGCAGGGGTTTCAGGATAGCAGGGTACATGCAACTGACCTGATCAAAGCATTCCATTGCGTACGCAGTCGCGATACTGGTGGCGGAGACCTGCTGCGCGATCATGCAGCAAAGGCCGACGGCAATGGTCATCCAGTGGGCACCCTCGGTAGCGCCCCAGCCATAGAGAAAGTAGCCGACGGCGGCGAGGATGATGGGCAGTCCGTAGGCCCAGAGACGCATTTCGGGTTCTTTGTACCCCTTGTTGCGGCGGGCGAGGAAGATGACAAGCCAGTCAGACAGCGATCCGATGCCCATTCTGAAGTCTATGGTTAGCTTGAATGTTGGATTGCGCTAGATAAGGCACCATACCCAATGAAGTTGCCGACAAGGGCAGCTAGGAAGATCAACCCGGCGGGACCAGCGCTCCAGTTGTATGGCGCTTCGGTCATAATCTCGGAGATGGTGTTGAAGGAGACGATGCCGGCGGTGCAGCCTAGGGCAAATTGGATCCCGGCCAGGAGGATGTTGGGGAAAGCGAAGAGGAAGAATGGACGGCGGAAATACTGGAACCAGGTTGTATGGTCGTCCTTGAAATAGTGCACCAAAGCAATTTTTTGGCGGTAGGTCCGTGGGGGCATTGAGATCTGCCCTGCACTATGGCTGGCCACGACGGATATAGGGGCCTCCATCTTTTGGTCCTTGTCGTCCATGGGCAGTGTAGTGGTGGGTTCGACCTTCGAGTTCTCAGACGATGTATCGCCTGAGAACCGGTATCTCGGGAACATCGTGTCATCAAAAGTGAAGATGAAGAGAAGAATCAAGCAAGCCTTAATCATCGATTAGCTTCGACCATGCTCTGTGTTGGTGCGCACAAGAACTTACGCATGCTCCTGCCACGATGGGCTGGCTCCATCTCCAGCCGATGCCATCAGAGATATACCCACCACAAATCAGGCCAATGATGGAACCAAGCTGCTGGAAGAAAATGTAGATAGCGAGCATACGGCCACGTTGATGGGAGAAGAAGACATCAAAGATCTATGATTTATTAGTATCCATAAGGAAGCTCTATAGAGGTGACTTACCGTTAGCTGAATTAGGGCTTGATAGGCAGCGGTACCGATACCATTGACTGTCATCATGATGTAGTACTGTGCAACACCGCTGAAGACACCGCCCCAGATTCCACTAGCGAGTACAAAGACCAAGCTGAGGATGTAAACAATCTTTCGTCCAAATTTCATGGCCGTGGGGATCCAGATTATGTTGAAGAAGCCGAGCATGAGATAGTTAAGAGCAGAGCCACCGTTCATATTGCTCAAGCTCACCCCTGTATCCTCCGAGATTGTTGTCCATGCTGCTCCCCAATTGTTCTCGCCAAAGGAGTTCAAGCATGCGTAGGCAGAAATCAGAAAGAGCGTATAGTATTTCTTGTACCTGGGCCAGTTCTAACAGGAGAATAGTCAGTCTTGAGGACAGAGGTCAGCTAATTTACTTTCTCCCACGTACCAACGGATCGGCAACTGATGAAGTAGGCTGGGGAATCAGTAGGATATCCTGACTGCCAGCATGGGCAGCGTCACTCAGGTTTCCCCCTGCGTCGACGAGGTAGACCGTTCCCGGTACGTCTGTCTGTATATCCTCAGAGCGAGTCATGATGTCTTGGTGCATAAAAAGCAGGACAAGGACAACAAACAGGGGATCGGGAGGGGAAGTGGCCGCTCTTTTAAATGCATTTCTACAGCACCAACGCGGTTTTGACTTGAGTCAAAAAGCATCCTCAGGCCCGGGGAGGTGTCAATATTCCGCTCTATCAAGATTCACTTGTTCCTCCGATTGGATGAGAATAACCGAGCATATTGCCATGGTAGGTGACGATCGATAAGGCAAGGCAAGATGATCTTTGACCTTGGTTTATCCGCCACTGCAATCACGAATCCGACGATGGCCAAACTCTAGTGACACCGTGAACGCGGTGCCTCGTGATAAGGGATGTGGAGTGAGACCGCTTCCCTCGAGCCATTGAGGCAGAATGAATGGAACAAAGATAAGTATACTTGTCGAGGAAGCTCCAAACGACGGGTGTTATCGCAACGGGGTTGAGACTGATGGCATCTGCCAAGAAGGACAAGGAGAGGAAGATGCGGAGAAGCCGTCAGATCCATCAACTAAAGCAGGTCTGGACACTGCACGCGACTGATAACATCAGCCACGAGACAACCTTATCACGGTAGTGGATGTGCGGAGAAGTGGACGATTAGGAGTGCAAGGTGTATGCTAAGTATATGAAGTAGAAGTGTTTCTGCGGAAAAGTCGATATGCTCAAAAGCAGGGAAGGTCCAACCGGTGGGCTAAACTGCATTGGGAACCCCGCCTTTTGGCTGCTCGATGGCTGATTCCCTGCCATGCTTCTTCCACTTTGTCTCATACTTCCTCCCGGTACAATTCCGCGATGAACCGGTGGACATGATATGATGAAGCCTCCCCTTCAAATACTCCCGTCTTGGCCGATACCCTCTTGATTTGTTCCTTTCCGTGCCAGAGCAAGTCTTTCTCCACTTGCCCGCTACATACAGTACACAACCCTCAGTATCATGGCTCCCTCAAACTTAAGTCATGATTCGACCATCCTCATTGTTGGTGCAGGTGTCTGGGGATGCTCAACAGCTTTGCACTTGGTCCGTCGTGGCTACAAGAATGTCACGGTGCTAGATCCTTATACAGTTCCCTCTGCAATTGCAGCGGGGAACGATATCAATAAAATCATGGAACATCGAGAGCCAAAGGGTAAGTACCCTTGAGACTCAACGAACAAAAGAGGAATCGACTGATAGGTGACTAGAGTCTGATACGGATCCCCGCAGCATTGCTTTTGCAACCTGCACCCGTGCTGCATTGAAGGGCTGGAAAACAGATCCTGTGTTCAAGCCATATTTCCACGAAACCGGTGTGGTCGTATCGGGCCACACTCCTGCCTTGATCGAACACATTCGCGAGACAGAGATTGAACCCTCAGTGGGTGACTTTGTGAAGCTGGAAACAGCAGAGGACTTTCGTAAGACAATGCCGGCAGGAGTCTTGACTGGCAAGTTCCCCGGCTGGCAGGGCTGGCTTAACAGATCCAACGCGGGATGGATCCACGCCCAAAAAGCCATGATATCCGCCTACACGGAAGCCAAGCGTTTGGGAGCCAAATTTCTCACTGGGTCCCCGCAAGGAAATGTTGTGGCTCTAGTCTTTGAAAATGGCGATGTTGTGGGAGCGAAAACATCCGATGGCGTGGTTCATCACGCGGATCGCACCATCTTATCGGCTGGTGCGGGCAGTGACCGTCTTCTGGACTTTGAGAAGCAGCTGCGTCCTACGGCCTGGACTTTATGCCACATTAAGATGACTCCTGAAGAGGCCAAGCTTTACAAGAATCTACCCGTGCTGTTCAACATTGCTAAGGGCTTCTTCATGGAGCCTGATGAGGATAAGCATGAGTTGAAGATCTGTGATGAGCATCCCGGATACTGCAACTTTATTCCTGATCCTAAGCGGAATGGTGACATCAGGAGTATCCCATTTCCAGCACATCAGATTCCGCTAGAAGCCGAGGCTCGTGCTAGGGACTTCCTCCGGGACACAATGCCGCAACTTGCAGATCGACCACTCTCTTTTGCTCGTATCTGCTGGGATGCTGATACGCCAGACCGTGCCTTCTTGATCGATCAGCACCCCAAGCATCCTTCATTGGTCGTTGCTGTAGGCGCTTCCGGCAACGGCGCGATGCAGATGCCCTCAATCGGAGGATTTATTGTGGACGCACTGGAAGGCCATCTTCAGAAGGAGTTGAAGGATGTTGTCCGATGGAGACCAGAGACTGCCGTTAATCGGGACTGGAAAGCGACCCAGAATCGGTTCGGTGGCCCGGATACAATCATGGACTTTCAGAAGGTCAAGGAGAGTGCCTGGACCAAGATTAGCGAGAAAAGCCGGCTATAGGGAAATTGAAGTGCAATCTGCGTCTTCCTCTATTATCATAAGTATGTAGGTAGAGAAATGGTAAATAGGCTGAGTGCTAATTAATATGTGCATTTTCAACTTCATGTGATATTTACAGTTGGATCGAGCACAAGCCGCTATTCCTTCGAATGGAAAGTGCTTGTATCCTGCCAAGGTCAATCCCATAAGAACCACACTCCTCACAAGTCAGTTCACCTTCCGGTCTTTCTGGACTGGGCCCTTGTCCGCATGCGAGCAAACCGACGGCTGGGCGAGAACAAAGATCGCCCTTAAAATATAGCTATAGCGAGCCTCTCCTTCCTCGCCCGAAGCGCATGGAAACCTAGGGTAATGGGTGGAGCTCCGCAACCCTAAACCAGTTGACCGGGCACTGTATGTCCATCTGTACTACAGCACCCTGCGAGCTGATATGCTTTCGCTACCTACTTACACACTGATGGCAGACCCGCACATTATCTATGTTGAGCAGTCGATCCTTCTACTCGAACCCTTCATCCACCTTCTCCGAATGGTATCTTCCACTTCCGCGCGCCTACATGGGCTGACAATCCGATCAAACACTGGTTTGGCTCCTCACAGTATCTGCGCTGGACATGCTCGTTAAAAACCCCACTAGGCCCCTTGGGGCTATATACAGTCTGGAAATACTAGAATCCCTCCTTTCTCAGTATTGTCTCTTAATTGGGGCCCGGAAAAGCATTGGAGTCATGACGCGTCTGCTCCTGTTCCTCGAAAATATTCATGAATTCCTTGCTGGTCCTCTAAAATCTCTTAGATGTCCTCCATGTTCGATATCATCGATTCGTCGACTGGGAAGCCATTGCGGGGGCTGGGGAAGGAGGAGTTTGCGATTTCAGCAACAAATACATTTTGTCGAAATGTTGCGAGTGAGTTACTCTGGAGAGTTAACTTAGCCATGAGACAGGCTCAGGGAAGATACTTTCTGTAAGCCTCGTTGGCAATGGATTGCAATTTTGGAATCTGCTCGGGCTTTGGCTAGGAAATCGAAGACGCGTCCATTTGAACCTATGCCCCGTCATCGAGTCTCTTGCTTACGACGGTCACAACATTAGAAATATTGGACAGCACTTCAATAGGTATGAGCCACAGTCTGATGTGCACTGATCGAAAATAAATGCGAACAAGACGTAGAAAGTCTCAACAGCAAGGCTGGTTGGTAACTGGCCACAGACAGGATACAAATTTCCCAACCATAAACACAGAGAGAGAGAGTCAGTGGCCAATTCCAGCTGTGTTCGCCCGCGAGGATATTTGAGTTCGTGCCTGTAACTGCCCTTAGGGTTCAATTTGAACTTGAACTTCGGCGCTACCTTCGTCTTGTACTTCGCCACATTACCTCGCTGAGAATACAGCAACGTAAACACTGGTGGGCTCGAGTTCTCGTACTGTGAAATCCATGCAGCATTGATGATCGAATTGCCTCCCATGTAGATGTAAATAAAACAAGAGGTCCCACGGCCGGTATAGCGTCCGCTGCGATGGCCAGAATCTGGGCCATGAAAAGCGCAAGTTGCTTCTCCCATGGGGTCGACTCGGTGATCTTGTAGTTCAGGACCAAGCTGTACTCGCGCTTGATGATGTCAGGGAAAGTCTTGTCATTGTAAGTGTAATTCCCAGTCACGTCCTTCGTTGCAGCGCTAGCCATCACTTCCCTAGTGGGAAATGCGAGAACAAGATCGCGACTGTAAAAGTCGATTGGTCGTCCTTTCTCGCCCTTTGCAGAGACATTCTGGTAGCTAATTTCGCCTTCCCTCTGACGGGTATATCCATTTACCGAACTGATTCCAGTCTGCCATTTTCAGCACCCATTTCCCCAAGTCGAATTCGAAGACGTCTCCAAAGTCAAGTTTCAGAAACGCGCCAATTTCCGTGACGACAGCACTGAAAGAATCCACAGGACCGAGTTTGGGCTTGGGAACAACCTTCCATCCTGTGGGCCCTGCATTGATCGCGTCAGAGAGCGCCTTAACGAATTTCTCACGTTCTACAGTGTTTCTTTGTGCCAAAAGACTTTGAATGGTAAGATTTTTGTACTCGGGCTTTTCAGCTATCTCCTGTGACCATTTCTCTGCGACTAGCGTGGCGGAGCCTGCATGTTTCTGATTCCCAAAGAAATGTGGCCGGTTCTCAGCCCAGAAATCTAACATCCATTTCTTCAGAGATTCCTGGAATGTGCCGCTGGAGCTTTTTCTAAGATCCTCTTGGTCGACCTCCGCACGATAGTATTTGGGATTGCGATCAATATTGTACTTCTTGGCTAAGGCATCGAGGTCTCTAGCCTTGGCCAATTGCATAGGTGAGGTCCAGCCACAGGAATCGCTCCTCGGGAGTCGGCATGGGAAGTGCACCGAATATGCCTGTTCCGGCTGTGCGAACAGATTTCCATCCTGATGCAAGGTCACGACCCGAGTTGGGTTGGTAGCATCCCTGCCATACAAAGCTGAGATCTTGTCGTAGCTTGCCGTCGCCCCTCCGACAGCAAATTCAGTGCGCGGATGCTTCTTCTTGGGCTTGTCTTTGTCTTCGACTTCCGCGTTGACGGTGATGTCAACCCCAAGGAACCTATAAGATTCCTCCCCTTCTCGCTTGAACTCTTTCATACGTTCCGTATCGCTTATATCTAGCGTCGTGTCGCACCAAATAGAGAAGAGCTTCTTGGGAAACCAGACCACTCCTTCTGGTGGGCCTGACATTGTCGTAATTGGCGGAGTGTTGTTTAAACTAAGCCGAAACTCCAAGCAGAAGTGAATTCTTGAATGTTGAAAGCAAGAATTACGATCTGAGGGGCACTATATATGCACCCTTAAAAGAGGATGATGGTGAGTTTATGAGGTCCGAAGTGCAAAGGCTGAACGAGAACGCAGCTGAGCATCTCGCCACCAAAATCAAACACGCTGCACTCTCAGGGATCATCCATATATCTCGGTCGTATTGACAACCTCTTCGATGCCGCGCAACAGCGGCTGAACCAGCGAAGGCAAGTCTGCTGAACTCTAGCTTCATCATTGGCCGGTTGAAGATGAGCAGGATTTGTGTTTGATTCTGAATAATCCAGATCGGATGATAAGGAATATCTTGATCAGTTCAAGGGAGCATCGTGCCGTGGGAGTGTAGCTGACATTGCTCTTCACCAGTCATGGTTCGTAACCGGCCAACTGCAATGGCTACTCTCCGAGCACGGATCACACGCGGGGTTTCTTTGCGTGAATCATTGGCTTCCAGAAATGCCTCGTATATTATTTTGCAAAGAAGAGCGATGCAGTATTTCGTTGGTCCCTAATAGTACCGCGAGTGATAGTCTTGATAAATGACGAAGTTGATAGATAAATAGTATAGATTAAATGCAAGCATCTATGAGAAGGGAAAGAATCCCCCCGCACAGAAGCTAACTGGCCTTGACCGCCTGCCCAATATGGCTATATTGATATGACGCGGTTGATGTCTCCAATTGCTTTCCCCTACACGTTATCATCACCAGTTTACAATGCTGTGTTTTCACCCTCGCCTGCTTCAATGCGCCCGGTAGCTGTGTGCACTGCTCCTATCATATTACTGCCTTGAATTGAAGCTGACGTACCATTAGACACCCTTTCGCGCATCCTCGCGATCGAGTGGAGGGCCACAGTTCGCCTCGACCCCTCGGTTCTTCGTGTCACAGAGGACCCCCGCATCGCAGCAGGCAACCCAGGACGCATTCTCCACCGAAGACGACGGACCCCAGAGCACTCCGGTACCAACTGCCCGCTTTCTGAGGCGCGACAGGGGTGCGGTCTCGACGCCTCGCCAGAAGGAGATCATCGAAGATTCAGACGATACGGAAGACCACCAGCAAGATGACACGCCACACATACGCTCGGAGGAAACCATCTTCGATGACAGACAAACGCAGAGCAGCTCCCCTGTACCACCAGTAGATGAAGATTCCGAATTCGAAGATCTCTTCGCAACCATTCAGGAGCGGAAAAAGCGACGTCGAATCTCAGTGAACAAGGATGCTCTCTCATCCCAACCAGTAGCGACACAATCAGACACAGATCGGATCGTATCATCGTCACAAGATCATCCCGCGTCTCCGACGCCTCTAGCCCAGTCCACAACTCCAGCTGCCCCCAAACAGTCTTCGATCCAGACGCAAGCCACTCCAGCTCCTTCACATCGTACCCCGGCAGCCACAGCTACACCCCGACCCACAGCGCCGGCAAGCATCAACCCTCCATCGACAACCAATCCCCGTCGATTCCTCTTTTCAACATCCCACCTACCTCCAAGCACCCAACCCCAAACAAGCAGCAAACCATGGGTCTCCGCATCGACACAAGAGCCACCACCCTCGTCTCAGCGACGTAAACCACCAGCCTTCGTGCTCCCTCGCTCACCGTCCCCCTCGCACATGGACGACGAGCTCGCTGCCCTACCGACCCCGTTCTCACCATCCTCGCGTGCGCTGCGTCGACGCGGACGTGCACGTGGTCCCGCCCACGCTTATCTCCCTGACGGGATGGCTGCTGAAGTGCGCAGCTGGGTTCTAGAAATGGGCACCCGACACGAACAGCAGCGACAGACGGGTGTGGCCCGGCGCACAGGAGCGGATCCCTCCCGGAGGGATCCGTGGTACAGTCCGACCGTGGTTCGGATCGAGAGTGTGCAACAGTCTGCTCTGCCGAGCTGCGGTCCTCTTGCATTTGTGTGCGGGCATGAGACCGATGCTCCTGGTGATGAGGTAAGGACAGAGGCAGAAACAGACTCACGGCTCAGAAACCTGCTTCTCATCGGGTCACCCCGGTCTCGGTCTGAGACGGTGATACAGTCCCGGCGGCGTGTTACCTCAACAGTGCCTGAACTTCGCCCTGGATATGCCATCGGCATTTGTCGAGGGTTGACCTGGGATATCGTTCTGGGGGAGAGTGACATAGGGGTGGCAATCAGGGACAACCCCTCTATCGATACTGCTATGCAAGCGTCAGGTAGGTGGACCGTAGTCCTGGAATGGGAGCTGGTCTCCGAGGTAGACGGTTAAGAAGTGCATAAATTAGATACCCTACATGCATGAGAATGAGATAATATGAACAACCTCATCGTAACGACGATGTTTTATGAAATCTGTATATACACTTGCTTTTGGCCTTGGCCCTATCCCAACAAACGCCACTCCCTGCAACGCCGGAAGCACCAGAAAACCAGCTAAAAACTCATTCATGGCCACTGACCTACTCAGCACCGGTATCCTTCACCACAACTTTCAGCGCATCGACCGCAGCGGTGCACCCCCACTTCACCAACTTCAAATCCTTGCCCGAGGGCACGATATCCGTCTTCGCGACGACCTTGCGCAGGAAGAAGATCAGCCCCTTGGCGATCTGCGGCGTCTCCTTGACACGCAAGAAGATCTCCATCAGCGCCTTTTCATCCCGTTCGTCATCGCCGTCCTCCTCTCCTTTCTTGCTCTTCTTGCTCCCGCGCTTCTTCTTCTTGTTCTGTTGCTGCGACTGCTGCATCACGCTGATCAGGAGCAACTCCACGAACGTCTTGCTCTTGGGCTGCAGGTAGGCGAAGTTCAGAATCTTCAAGATCCCCAGGTTCAAGGTCCCGTCCACCACCAGGGACGCGTACATCTTGGCCAGGTTGACGATAGACTTCATCTCGAGCCGGTTGCTCTCGTCCTCGTCGTCGCCGAAGCCGCCGTCGGAGTCGTCGTCGTCGTGCATGTCGCCGTTCTCGCCCATGCGCTTGAAGATGTTCCACAGCGTGTACATGAACGAGACCTTGATGCGGCGGCCCATCTCGCCGCACAGCCGGCGGGCGATCAGCGTGTAGTAGGGGTTGTGCGCGGCCTCCTCCATGGCGCAGTGGGTCAGCACGCGGGGGATCTCGAACTCCTGGGCGCGCTTGAGCCGGAGCTTGAGCAGCCGCACGTGGGCGTCCTGGTAGTCCGTCGCGGACATGATGGCCACGAAGATCGAGCGGCGCACGTCCGTGTTCATCCGGTGCGCTTTCGCGATGTTGACCCAGTCGGGTTCTTTGTCGCTATCATCGTCGTCGTCGGGGGCGCCGTGCTGTTGCTGCTGCTGGTCCGCCGCGGCGGGCAGGCTTGAGAGTTCCTGGCGCGCGGACTCGAGCGGGTCCTCGCGCCAGCTCGCGCCGACGAGCCACCATTTTCCCTTCTTGGCCGAGTTGTGGATGTCCTCCCGCGAGATGCTGATGGGTTCCGAGGCGCGGATGACCCGCGTGTTGTTGAGCGCGCCGAGGATCTTGCGCATCTTCGTGAGGTGTTCGGACGAGATGGTGGAGCCCGCGCCGGCTTTTAGGCGGTTGTTCTTCAGGTCGGTGATCGTGTCGATCATGAATTTGGTGCGGACGGAGAGGGAGGCCTCGCCGGCTTTCGCTACGGCTGGTTGGATGAGGAGGACAATGTCCTTGAGGGAGGAGGGGTCATCTTGGCGGAGCTGAGGACCGGAGTCTGTGCATCGTCGTTATTACTATGTATGTGGGTGAGCTTGCAGGCGGGTAGATACGTACTTCGGATGATCTTGAGGAGAAGCTCGGTGTTTTCCTCTGTAATGTCCTGGAGGAAGATCCGGATGTAGTCAAACATCAAGGTGCTTGAGATGACGTGGAAGTTGTACAACTGGGAAAGAAGGGAGATCAGATTGATTGTCTCCTTCCCTGAGAACGGCCCTCTTTCGTCTCCGCGAGCATCGAAGGTTTCGACAATCTTCTGCACGATCTCCGCGCCAAAGTCCATACCCATCACCTTGTAGACGGCAGCAATGAAACCCGCATGCAGGATGATGAAGGTATCCGACAGAGCGGATCGTTCACAAATCATTCCAAACAAGAGTGTGATGAGGGTCGAGGTGACTTCTCCACGGGGATAATCGCGATATAGCTTCTCGAACTCCGCCAGGATGGAGATCATGTTGGCTTCGGACAGCTTGTTCAGCTGTCCTTGCGCTTGTCTTCGTAGACGTACAAGACTCTCAGACTCGGAGGAAGCCTTAGCGCGAAGCGAGGGAGGAATGTACTTTTGTGGTTGATTCCCACTGGACTCTTGAACCGGAGCCACGTATGGGTTTTCCTTCTTCTTAGGAAGGGGTTCCTCTTCCTCTTCCTCTTCATCCTCGTCGAGATCCATGCCGTCCATATCCACATCTTCGTCGTCATCCTCCTCATCCTCCTCATCTTCATCCTCATCAAAGTCTCCAAGCGAGTCGTCGTCTTCGTCAAAAGCCTCCAGCCCATCCAACCCATCCTCACTACCCATGTCGCTGTCATCCTCATCCGACTCAACGTCGTCCTCAACCGGTAAACCCTGCGCCTTTCTCCGCTTGTTGCGCAACCAGTCATCAGCCTCTCGTTTGCGCTTGCGGTTCTCATCATCGGAGCCCTCATCTAAGTCGCCCAGAAGATCACCCAAACCATCTTCCTCAAAAGCCTTGGGAAGCTTCTTGCCCTTCTTGAGACCCAACTTCTTCTCCAACGCAGCAATCTCCGCATCATCCTCGTCCAGCTTCGCTTTGACTGTCTTCGAAATCGGACGTGAGGCAGCCACCCCCTCAGCATCATTGTCGGTCGTCTGCGATTTTTTCTTCGGCTTCTCGGGAGCAGCAGCCTTAGCAGCCTCCTTCTTCTGCTTCAACTTGGCCATGGTCGCCGCAACATCGTCATTATTGTCCGAATCGCCCGCATCGTCGTCATCAAATCCTCCAAATCCATCCTCGTAGTCGTCGTCATCGTCATCATAACCCCCGTAAGACCGTTGAGGACCCCTCTTCTGCCCACCCCGCTGTTTCTTCGACTGTCGCTCCTCCTTCCGACGATCTTTCCTCGCGCCGGGACCGTTGCGCTTGCGCTCCCCGTAGGTATCGCGGATCCCCAGCTCTTCTCGGAGATTCCGAGGTAGCGAGGTTGTATTATGCCTAGGACGTGGCATTTTGTTTTTCTGGTGGTGGAGAATGTTGATGCAGTGGAACCTTTTTTTTTTTTTGGTCTGCGAACATAATGCCGTTTCAAAAAAGTCCGCGGAGGCGGAAACCGAGAAAGGCGGTGAGATGAGGTTGCGGAGCTCTCTGTCCCTCTCCCCACTCAACTCGCTGAGTCGAGATCGTCTGGCCATTCGGTTTATTGATTAGAGCATAGCTTCACAAGTGGATTGGTCTGCTTCTCTGTCTCCCCATCCTTCGAATCTCAGCACACTCGATCTGACTTACAGGGGGCTTAAGACCACCCTTCTCACCAAACAACCCTCCAACTGACACCATCCACTTCCCCATTCCTGGGCACGCATCTACTCAAAATGCCCGCCCACCTCAACCATGAAGAGGTCTGTCCGGCCTAACCCTCCCCTCCTCCAAACTGCCCCCTTCAGACACTTTGAACTCCCTCCGACCCCCAAGCCATTTACAGTCTATGCAAACAAACTAACCCCAAAAAACAGTTCTTCACCTCCCTAACCACCCTCCTAACCACCACCTCCCAAAAAGCCCGCGGCTCCGTCTACCTCACCCAGAAGCCCTGGATCAACGCCGACAACTCCCAAGAACAGCAACAACAACCCGCGATCCTCATCCGCGCGACCGACGGCAATACCAGCGCCCCGAACCCGAAGAAGGTGAAGACCGACAAGAAGACGGCGGCGGCCGCCACCAAGAAAGTCAAGCTGTCGACGGTGGTGAGCCCGGAGGAGCTGGAGGCGTTCTACGCCCGGTATGCGGAGGTGTGTAAGGCGGGGATGACGGGCTTGAAGAAGCGGGACCGCAGTAAGAAGAAGACTGCCAAGGGGAAGGCAGGGGGGAAGGTGCAGAAGGCTTGATTTCTAGTTGGGAGGTGAGGAGGTGTGGATTCGAGGGTCCTATTGAGTTGTTGGGATTATGGACTGGCTTGGGGGGTTGGATTGGGCGTGAGTGGTGAGGTTGGAAGGACGGGAGGATCTGATGGATGATCTGTTGTGCTTGTTCATTGTATGGTTGATTGCATTTATTGGGCGTTTCATGGGTCTACCTCTTTTTCCTTTCATCTATCGATTGATCTTCATACGACTGGGTGTGCAGTAACCGAAGCGATTGTGTAGTATGTGAGCATGCCCTATAAGTTTCTCAAGGACGAAGCATGACAGCATGAGCCCCGGCCAAAAGGGAGCGATGGCTATCAAAAAGGGCCATCCAAGTCTCTACATGCACTGAAAGAAGAACCCAGAGTTACCCATACCCTCAACAATCAAGCCCTTGCCCTTCCCTATCACGGATCCGTCTCTCATCATACCCTACTGGGTAGAATAACGTGTCTCTCTTCCCTGCAAAGCCACTCACTATCCTCCATTATCAAGCAAAAGACAATCCCCCGAAAGAGCCGCAGTATATCCAGGAATCCAGCCCGTGACACAGTTCAACCCAATAGCGACCGAGAAAAATAAGTAAGGATGGGTTGAACGATATACGCGATCAAAGGCCGTCCTCTACACAGCCACGCGCTCATTGACTCCTCATCGATGCCGCAATCCCCTCAGATAGTCACCCATCCCCGAAGGAGCCAACCCTCGAACGAGATCCAAGCCGAGAGCCCCCGTATCGATGATCAATGACCAAGTCCCATCATCTCATCAATCCCCATTGCCTAACGACAAGGCAAAATCCACAAGCCTTCAGCTCAAAGCCCCTCCCTCCCCAAGTGCTAGCGCCATATCTTCCTCCCCGGGCGACATCAGAAAGCCTCGACCCAGACACCCCAGACGAAACACACTTGGCAACCGAACTGCAAGATTAAGACGGCAAAGAAGCCCGGGCCGTCGTTGTTCTTCGGGACGACAACCCCATTATTTGGAAACCGGCAGGCGAGGGAAGGCGGGCAGGCCCGGGGCCGGTAAGCGGTAGTAACCGTTCTCGCGCTGGCGGATGGGTGGGACGGTGAACAGGATCAGGCTGGCCAGGAAGAGGACCCGTTTCTGCTGGAATTTCAGGGGCACTTTCCACCAGGCGTGGAGGGCCGTGAGCCAGACCCGGCTTCGTTGGCGGATGCGCATGGGGACTTTCCGCCACATCGTTGTGGTTGTGTGGCGTGCATAGAGAGGGGAGGAATATCGGGAGATGGGTTGGGGAGAAGGCGAAAGAGGAGAAGAAGGAGGAGGAGGAGGCGGCGGTGGGGAAGGAGTGGAAGAGGAGGAGCCAGTAACTACTGCGCTACTGTTTGGGGAGGTGGTTTGATGGTAACTGGAACTTTAAGTATGGGGGAGGGACCTGGGGACCTTAGATTGTTGCCGTGGGCGCTTATCTACCCTCCCGGTCCGCCCCCTCACGCTAGTGTGACCTATCATTTTCTTTATTACCGATCTAGATCATGCCATTCTTGCAAGTTCTCAGCCCCAGAGATCCGTGCTGCGTCTCTACTTATCAATCATGATGGACAGAAAGCTGATTGGCAGATTGGAGGCTTTAGATGTCAATGTCTCACAAATTAAGTATAATTGATGGTACACGCTAGAATACAATAAAGACATTAGGGTACATTTCCAATGCAGATTGGTCCCCCCACAAATCAAATGTGTCCCAGATCATGCATGGGACTTGATAACGGAAATTCATGTAGACAGATCATCACAGAATGCAGGCGTGTGTGGGAATAAAACAAGAACATCATGATGGACGAATGTGAGTGAAGGAAATATGCCAAAGAGCGGTATGTTGATCTGGGAAAAGATAGTATGCTGAGCCAGCGAAGCCGTTATCTCCGCTCATATGTCAGGAGTCTTTGTCGGTAGACTCCTCGGATCTTCTAAAGCAATCAGGAAGAGGAAGGTCGAAATCATCCACAATATCCTGACCTTCAGCCAGTTGGTCCTCGATGTTGCGCTTGAGCTCCCCTATAGTCGAGTTCAGAGCAGGCCCGATAACAATCCGGGCAGCAATATGGATGAGCACGACCAGGAGCTGAATGGGAGGGACCAAAACGAGTGAGGCGGTCTTGTGAATCAATGAAGCCGCATCGTGCTTCTCAGGTTTGGCAAGCGTCAAAGTAGATGGTGGTGGCATGGGAGAGACCTCCCGCTGGCGGGATGCCCTGGAGCGACGGCGAAACTCTGCGCTCATGCTGGAAAGATTAGAATTAGAGTCGGTGCTTGAAGCAAGCCCAGTAGGTTCTGGGACGGACGAAGGAGAGTTAGGGGTGATTGTAATTGGTTGGGGCTCCTGCTCGGAAATATCTCTTGCTAAATCGTCTGCCGGCGACATATGATCCCAACAATCGACGTATACAGAGACCCTATTGTCAGAGCGCTTCAACTTGGGAAGATGTGAGTCTTCCGAAGACGAGTGAACACCACCACTTTCATTGTCATAGTGGTCGTCATTCTCGCTTGACGCAGGTGTAGAGCAGGTGTCCAGATCTGGGATAGCTGTAAAAGAAGGGCCAAGTGAGTGGAACGATTCCACACTGGAGGAAAAGGATAGTTCAGGATCAACCTGATCTTCAGCATTATCTTCGAACCTCGCCAGCAAGGTCTGAAAGTTCTGCTGTGTTTCGGCCACGGACTGGCCCGAATGCTGAGTTGACCCTGCGATCTGAATCGGCTCAGACGACTCATTATCGTCTGCGATGGTCTCTAAAATGGTGCTGTTGCTGCCTCTGGTCGTAAAGCCACTATCGTCCGTCGCATCTCCGTCCGTGTCTTCGCCAGCGCTAGGCGAGTCAGTCGCCAAATCATCCTTTGGCTGAAGTCGGTCTTGCTTGTATATGGAAGAGACGGGATCGCTTTCTCTGCGCCCTTTGGGACGCCATGCCCTCTTCCTTCTAGGCGCCTTGGCTTCCTCGGGGATTTCGACGGTGAAGCCCCTCTTGAAGGGACAAGGCGTAACTTCATATCGGAGAATCCTGGGCAACACGTTTTTCATTTCCGCGACCAACAACTTGTCGCCATCCACTTCGTTGGGCAGTTCGATGCGATAATAGGTGAGAGGTCGGATGCGCAGGACGAATGTCGACTCGCCATCAACGCACCAACATTGTGAGTTCTTGAGGATGGCGTGGACGACATTGCCGCATTTCAGGAAGACAGTCAAGCCGTGAACATTTTCCAGACGGAGAGGCGCGAGCGCGACCGTGCGTTCGGTAGGCGATCTCCAGGGAAGCGTCTCCACGGTATCAACCGGGTAATCAAAGTCCGCGGGCGCGGTGCTCGAGGGAATGGGCGCGAGGGCTCTAGGGGCGAAATGGACGACTTTGGCGGAGGGATGGTAGAAGAGATCGTTTTCGGACAGTTTCACGGATTCTGAGTGACGACGTGTACGCGGGTTCAATTTGGTGGGGAGAGTTGCAGACCGACGGATGGACAAGGTCTGAGGGAGCGGCGCATCGAAGGAATCAGACATCCTCAATCAATCATGGGGATCTTGGATGATGGGAATGGAATATAAGAAAAAAAAAAGGGACCGAAACAAAAGATTACATTGAATAATAAACGTCTAGGGTGAGAGAAAAGTGCATGTGATGTGAAATATGGAAGAGTAAAAAGCGGAAAAGGAGAGACGATCAGCAGGGATAATGAGGAGGGGGGGGGATAGAAAAGAATGATGGTGGTGGTGGTGAGATAATCGAGCCCGAATGACCCCGGAAGATGGATGGATGAACTCAAACTAGAATAATCATGGCAAAAACCAATCTGGACTAGTCGCGGATCTCCCCTGCGCTCTGCGCTCTGCACGCTGCAAGCTTGTTGGGGCTGGTGTGGAGTATGATGCTGGTAGCCTCAGGCATAAAGGCATCTTATATAATCACGTGAAATGTGGCGTCGTGGGGCTGGGCGGGTAGTCCGGCTGCTAGCTCCGGCGCTTAGCGGAAGTTGCACCAATCCACAATCACAGCCATACTTGGACATTTCCGTTATGTGGTTGCCTGTGGCTGTTCCCCCTCGAGCCAACGCACCACTATAAATAGCTCTACATCTCCAATTCTTTCTTTTTCAACTATCCCTGAGCTCACATCTACTTTCTTCCTGGGCATAGTCGAGCATCATGCCGAACTTCGAGCCTAACGCCGTGATTCGCGGCTGTCAGCTCACCATTGTTGGAAGTGAGTGAGATTCTTCCCCTCTGTTACCTCTCCACCCCCCGCGTGGAGCCTGCTTGTGGCTCCATGGGATGCACCATGTGAAGCAGAAAAGGGGTGTCTGAGATGACTTCTCTTGCTTTGCCATGCCTGGATTTTCCAATTCCCAATTGTCAGACCTGCTATTGTGCAGATCGATCGATGGGCGGCATCCAGCAAAACACCTACGTCATCGGAGCACGAGAATTGATAGCTGACCCTCGCTCGACAGCTGTCCGCGCGCTGGGAAATCCCGACTTATTTAAGTACAACCACTTTCGACAGGCTGTCTTTGCAGTCGCCGTTGGAATTGCTATCCAGCTTATCATTCAAATTCCGGTATGAGTGGTGCCCATTAGTGGCCTCAAGATGTATGAACCCCGAGCTAACAAATCGCGTCTAGATCATCGGGGTCAAATTCGTTCTCTGGGTCCTCTCATGGTTTCTCGATCTAGAAAATGCCACCTGGGATGACTCCCTCATCGAGGGTCTCGACTTCATCGCCAACTCGGTGCTTCAGGTGCCCTTCTTGCTCATGACACTAATGCGTTATATCACACCTACCCTGGACGAGATGTAAGTCGAATATTCTCATGGATATCCAGTCTGGTTGGGCATGCTAACTAGTGGGCAGTTTCATGGAATCCCTCAAATGGGTTGACACTACCTACGTGCACAAGCACAAGCATGAAGACCCCAAGAACCTGCGCGAGATGTATTACCCCAACCTTTCCATGTACACCACCGCGGACGGCAGGGTCAAAACTCCCAAGGGCGCCGGCCTTGCAGCATTCTTCATGTTTCTCAAGCGTTACGGCAAGCGGGCTGGGCTGCTCCTCGGCACTTACCTCTTCTCTTTGGTCCCCGTCATCGGACCTTTCGTGATGCCAGCTGCCTCGTTCTTCGCCTTTCAAAGCGCCGTGGGAACGACCCCTGCGGCTGTCATTTTCGGAGCCGGCTTCATTCTCCCCAAGAGCTACGTGGTCTCGTTCTTGCACAGTTACTATGCCTCCCGCAGTCTTATGCGTGAGCTTGTAGGTCCTTCCTTGGCCTCCCCCTCGGGTTCATTTTACTAACAGCAGAAACAGTTGGAGCCCTACTTCAGCCGTGTGCCCTTCACCCATGAGCAGAAGAAGCGTTGGTTCGCCGATCGCGAAGGAGTTTTGTTCGGCTTCGCATTCGCTTTCACCCACGTCATGAAGGCGCCTTTCATTGGAGTCCTTCTTTACGGCGTGGCTCAGGCATCAACCGCCTATCTGGTCACCAAGATCACGGATCCCCCACCAAGCCCTGCGCTGAAGGAAGGATTCGCTGAGACTCAGACGACCTGGAAGAACAAGCACGATTTCCTGAGTCTTCCCTTGGATAAACTAGACAAGATCAACATGGAAGAAGAGGAGGAGAAGCCCAAGGTACCTGATACCTCTAGCCGGCAATTGTCCTAGATGGGAGGAGAGAGGGTTGGTTTGATTGAAGGGTTGCCCCGGGATTTGAATGAGCGGCGGAGTAGACAAGCGGGGATCTGTATAGATTTGGGGTGACTTGGGAGGATTTGTAAAGGGCTTCTATAAAAGCTGTATGGGTGTAACAATTCCGATATCGTTATCAGAAAAAGTTGAATGCAAAGCAGATGGAAAGGGGTGGGAGAATCTTCCCCGCAGATAAGCGTCATTGACCCTCCGATAAGATAACCTTGTCCCACTTTCTCTCTTGCCTCATCATTCCCCCCGTTCATTTCCGATTTGACCGGCTGATAACCATGGGTCTGAGCGAGACTTCCTTTGAACTGGCGAGGCGGGGAATGTTTTTCTTAGCTGCAGGGGAGGATCGTGCAGCTACGAATACTTAATTGGCAACTGTCAGCCTGGGGGAGGGGCCTTTCCTGCAGAGCTAAACTTATTCTTCCTTCCCTTCTACAGTACCTACACCCATAGACACCTCCATCAGACAAAACAGAGAGCATCACATCACATCTCACTCACCATGGGCCACAAGAAGATCCGCACAGCGCTCACCGTTGATCTTGAAAAGCCCGCCTGGGAGCAGCCTGGCTTACACGTGCGTGTCATCTACTCTGATACAGTCGCTGTCTTCACCTCGATACTGACATCCTGCAGAACCGATGGCATCCAGATGGTACCATTCCAGCCTCACGACCCACCTACCATGATGTTCAGGCACAATGCTAATCATAACTCCATTCGAATAAAATTAGTCCCCGCATGCGGCAAGATCGCCAACAATGAAGTCGTCAAGATCGAATGTCTCGACTGGACCGGCGGCCAGATCAAGAACAACGACTCCGCCGACGACGTCAAAAACGTTGACCTCACCCAGATTCACTACCTATCCGGTCCCTTTGAGATCGAAACCGCCGAGCCGGGGGACGTTCTGCTGGTGGAGATCCAAGATGTCCAGCCCTTCGAGGATCACCCCTGGGGGTTCACGGGAATCTTTGACAAAAACAATGGAGGCGGGTTTCTGGACGAGCTTTATCCTAACGCGTGAGCCAGACTTTCACTCAACGTAATCTGATTTTGGAGAGAAAGAGTCTGGAACTGACTGAGTGCATACCGCAGAGCAAAGGCCATCTGGGACTTCGAGGGGATCTTCTGCTCGTCGCGACACATTCCCCACGTCCGCTTTGCGGGACTGATTCACCCTGGAATTTTGGGCTGCGCGCCATCCGCCGAGGTCCTGGCGGAGTGGAATCGTCGGGAGGGGGAGTTGATCGCGGCGAGTGCGGATCTCCAGCGTGATGTGGCGAAGCCCCCCGAGCCGAAGAATGCGCATGCGGGGAGTGCCGATGAGAGTTTGAAGGAGCAGATCGCTAGAGAAGGCGCGAGGACGATTCCGGTATGCTTCCCCCCTCATCATGCGTTCCCGTGAACGAGGTGAACTTGAAAGTTGAGCTCAAGCTAACACAATCTAACTTCTGCTCTAGGGTCGGCCCGAGCACGGCGGAAACTGCGATATCAAAAACCTCTCCCGCGGCTCCAAGGTCTACCTCCCCGTGCATGTTCCCGGCGCGAAGTTCTCCGTCGGCGATCTGCACTTCTCGCAGGGTGACGGGGAGATCTCCTTCTGCGGCGCCATCGAGATGGCCGGCGTTATCACGCTCAAGTTCACCGTGCTCAAGGGCGGGATGGCCAAAATGGGCATGAAGTCCCCGATCTTCCACCCGGGCCCCGTGGAGCCGCAATTCGGGCCGGGTCGATATCTGACCTTCGAGGGATTTTCGGTCGATGAGAACGGAAAGCAGCATTACCTGGATGCCACGGTGGCTTACCGCCAGACCTGCCTACGCGTCATCGAGTATCTGCGTCGGTATGGGTATAATGACTACCAGATCTACCTGCTGCTGAGCTGTGCGCCGGTGCAGGGACATATTGCCGGGCTGGTGGATATCCCCAACGCGTGTACGACCCTGGGGGTGCCGATGGATATCTTCAACTTTGACATTCGGCCGGAGGGGGATGTGGTGCAATTGGATATGGGGAGCTGTGCGTTTACGAGTGAGTAGGTCAGATGCAGTGGTTGATCTATCAAGATTTGAGGAACAGTTTTGCCTTTCAATCCTACGTGGTCTGTTCCGGCTTGAGAAGATTAATTATTTACGAACTACCAACTATTAATCAATGCCTTGGATGCTCCGCGGTCGTAATTTTGGTTGATCAAAACAGAAGCAGGACCATTGCTTAGACGATTGATGCGTAAGGGCATGGCTTCTGCCATCAAATTAGCCACTCAGGCTTTATTGATGACGAAAGTAATCGTTGTTGGCGCTCCTCTCCGCCCGGTCAACGGAGAGCGAAACCGCTCCTGCTCATTTCTAAGTGTGAGTACAGTCTGAATTGAACGTAGCTTCAGTAATTTTTCTCTCTTGGCGTTGTCACCCTTGGCTGCTTTCTTTGGTAGGCGAACATTTGGTTCTGGTCCGTGTAGTCGCTGATGTCTTGTATGTTTCGAGTGTCTTTTTTGCATTGAGCTTGAAGCTGAGACAACATTACCTCCAGGTATTTGCGTGTACCTGGTATCTGCGACGGGCCGTTTATGTTGAAAATGGAAAAGATGTGATGAAGGGGATACAACTAGAGATACAAATGAAAGGGATACAGTGAGACGGGATGCACAATGTGTCAGTACCAGAGAGAGGCATGGGCAAAATGGCTCATGGTCTCAAGGGTATGGAACTTCACACTTCACAGCTCCCCTCCTCATCGTGTACGCCCTTCATTGATGCTTGGGTGGATTTCGTCGTCAAACTTCTTCCGAAAGTTGAAATAATGGAAAATATGAGGCAGATTTTACGGCTCAAAGTATGTTACGCAGAAACCTTCCATCTCATCGGGAAGCAACAGTATGAACATCTAATACACCCGAATATCACAGAGGGTATATGCTACGCATATGCCGATCATAATAGACCCTCTTGTTTCCGGCCGCTGGATGGAATCTTTGCGGCCGCGCTTTAGGGGCCGTTGAGTCCGTAGATGCGCGCGAGACCTCTTCGACACTGTCAAGGCTGGTTTCTTCCAGGTAAGGTGTCTGTCTTGTATCAATCATATGAGATGTCTATATCCAGCTCTTTATCAAGCTCTTTGTATTTGAAAGACATCTCAGTTGCTGCCTCGTCGTTATCGAAATATGGACGCATAAAGTCGTCGAAGTCAGAGTCCGACGTGGTACTTTTAGTGGACCTCTTCTGTGACTCCTCATCTCTGGCGATCTTTTTCTCTCGATTGTCGATATGAGTTTGAACCTCATCAGCACGCACGGCTGTTATGAGGGATAGGACCTGCTATGCTTAGCATGAACACTGGGTAGGCAAAGAAGGACACACTTACCGTGAGTGCAACTGGGGGTTGTCGTCTTTCGTGCCTTTGGAATGCTCAGCCAAATGCACGCGTCCTCGACTCTTGGTCCCTTTGATGCTCTTCATTGATTTCACCTTGGATTCATTTGAACAATCACTTTACTAAGTTGCATCTTCTGGAGCGTCTTCAAGATTACTGCGGTATATCCAGCGCACCCAGTATCTGCCTGGAGAAGGACATCTCCACCATCGGGCGCCTGCAAGAACGTCTATGGTGCATCTCTTCCAGGAAGTCCATCTGCCTTCGCTTCGTATGAGAGTCGGGGAATCTGGCTTTATGCTCTGAATTAGTTTGATTGTTGACAACTAAGCCTGCCTTGACACGTGTTTGACAGTAAAGTCACAAATGTTATCGAACCACCATAGACTACTTACTATGCGACGATATATATGCAATTTGCCTTGTTTCCATCCCACTAGAAGTCGCGGAAGCTTTGGTTCTTTGGATATGTGAGGCTCAGAAGGTTAGTTTGAAGCCTTTTGGTACAATGCCGATGAAACTTGGCTTCGTAGTAGGCGAATCAATGGCTGCGTTTTCGTTGACCTCGAAGTTTAGTGGATCTGGCTTGATACGGCGATATATTCAGCTGCCTTGGGAATCTGCATATCCGGTCAGTTTCAGTCCGCTTGTCCGGGTGAGTGGTCCCAGTAATATCTAATTCCAGCGCGCTTTGGGCCATCTTTTGCGGGCTTGAGCCGTTGCGGATCTGCAAATCGTGTTGTATCTCTTATGGGTCAGGGACGTCAGGATCGTTTTGTTCAAATAGACATGCTACCGAGTGCTATATGTTTCAACTCAATATATGGTGAGACACACGGTCGTTTTCTCCTCTGGTTCCGCGTGCCCAGTTCCGGCAGAGGCGAAGAGAGAAAAACGCCCTCATTTTTGGAGAGCCTCGAAGCGAAAGAGCTTGTTGCTTGGGAGTTTAGCTAGATAACCGGATGAATTCAAGCATTTCCCAGTTGATAATGTTTTCAGCAACCACCGGAGGATGATAAGTGATTAGTATGTGTTAGCGCTCTTCGCCGAGGCTTTCCATTTCTGTAAATCTGTCCCCTTGGATACCTTGAGCAAAAGCGACGTAGGATTTGTGAGAATGATGCGCTGGTAGAAATGCAGTTGCTTGGAGATCCTCCTAAGCTTCTGAAATATCACGTTGAATGTCGTGAAGGAGATATTGTTTATAATATTATACGAGAAGAGTGCAATCAACGTGTGGAAGGGCATCGATAGGAGCACCTGTAACCATGAAGAAAATAATAAGTAAATAGCTTTTGAATATAGCCACACCGGCTTGTAGGCAATCACTAGCTCAATTATTGGATGTAAAGCCGCTTGCTTGGCAGCCGGTCTGAAGGATCTTGAAATTTGATGCAGCCATGGCAGGTTGGTCGAGATCTCTGGTAGATGGAAAGGATCAGAATAGTAGAAAAGAGGCAGAGCTGCAGAGTTGTAAAGTTGCAGAGCTGTGAAGTTGCAGAGTTGCAGAGTTGCAGTGTGGAAGTGTGGAAGTGTGGAAGAGTAGAGAAACAGAAAGATATGGTAGTAGACTGGAAAAGGTGAACAGCTGCAACCTACGGAAGATGGAACAAAAGGCTTCATACTGTGAATTATTGTAAGGATTAAATGGTCCTCCCTAGCTGAATAATATATACAGTGAAGAAACAAGCTTGTTCACTATACTTAGTAGACAGGGGTGAACAGAACAATAGTCCGAGTAATGAATGGAGATAGCCCCTACTATAAGTAGTGTAACTCTACTTTCAGTTCTCTTCTCCTACACTCTTCATGCTTGGTACTAGTAGTAATCAAGGATCTTTAAATTCAACCTATTATTCATCTCCACAGACCACATAAAGCCAGGTCACCCAGCTTAATTACAGTCCATCATACTCGAGCCCAAATGCTAGAACTATCACTGCAAGAGAATGAAAGCCAGCAACTGGATTCTTTAAAAGCTTGACAACGGACTATTCGACAAGTCCTCGCAGAATTTATCCCCTTAGGCGAAAATAGATATATGGTGATGGTGATGAGAATAACTACCAGAGTTTCAACCCGCCATCCTGCATGTTGTTTCCTCTTTTATCCTCTCTACAAGTTCCTACCAGACTCCCGCTTCATTTTCACAACCATTTTTGCCTGTATCTCGAAGCTGAAACAGACTATGTTTGATGGCTCAATTCAACCTTCAACAGATCAGTTCGTTTACCGTATCCCGCAAAAGCCACTATGAAACACGGACAAAAGGGTACAACTGGAAACGTGTTAGGATTGCCGAAAGAGAAATCGTCTCCAGAGATCGATATCATGATAGGGATCTTTCACAGCATCCTTCTGGGAGAGAAGCCCATAACGGACAAGAAGTATATGAGCTGGGCATAACACAATGTCCATAAGTGCCAATGTCTGGCGAATGTTATGCATATTGCTAGAGTCGGTGTAGCAGCAATGTAAGCAGGCGACAAGGAGGTACAATCTTTCAATTTTTCTCTATGCCATTCATCCTCATGCAAAGTAAGCTCCCGCAGCTGGCACATCGATAGCTTTTCAGCCGAGGTGTAGTCGAATTCTCAACCCCCTTCAAAATAAGTTAATACTTGCAACTTAAGAGCGCATAGAAAACTCTTGGGGCATTGTGAGCGTGACTTGTCAGTTGGTGCTCAATTCATCGGCGGCTAATAGAGCTCCCGACAACAAGCTTATTGAAACGACTTTAGAAGCGCAGATACTAATCTCAAGTGAGTATAATCTAAAATTAGACATTCGCGCATCAGAAGAGACTGTTGAGCCGCCGTTGAAACAGTGAAGCGCATCATTTAGCAGGCACATAGCATCTTTTAGATGTCAGTATTGCTGTAGAAAAAATGTGAAGCAATGCCTGTATTTCTTCCAATTGTGAGTGTGTCAACAGCCGCTTCAGAAAGTATCTTCAGCACAAGCTGACACATTGAGTATTTCGACATGCAATGTCCAGATGCAATTGATACCATCTTAACCCTTTATGCAGGTTGAACATGGGGTCATAAGCGGGATAAGATGATCTTTTCGATCACGGCACACGGTGGATCTCTCCCTAAACTTGCGCAACTGACATCGAGCTCCGATAAGAGCTATTGTGAAAGGAGAGGCCGCTCTGAAGAGTCTGCATCCCGATGAACATTGGTCACGAGGAGTGCTCCCTGCGTAACTCGGCGTCTGTTCAAACCAACAGTATGCATAACCCCAGATCTAAGCTTGACGGGACTAAAATATGAGCGGCTATGGTTCTGAAGAATGGGGGTCCCCAATGTTTATCTCTGCGTCGAGCCGCTGTGGCGGGGGGTAGATGGCTGAGCGCCTCTGAGCATGGTGAGAGCCGCGCGCCATGATCGGACGAACACCACGACACCTGGAAGCGCGGACGTACCGCTAGGAAGAGTTGATATGAAACACTGCGTTGGAATCTTGTCAAGGAGATGAGAAGATTCGTGGACCTGATTTGATGAAACACGGTCGAGAAGGCGCGCGAGTATGCTGGACGAAATCTAAATCTGCTGAAAGACCCTTATCCCCGGGCCTGAAGTACTCAGTCGCAAAACATATAAGGGTCCAAGATACTCAATCATGATTTTTTTCGAGCACTTTCAAACCAGCAAACCGAGCATCCAGTAATCTGGTGCAGGGTCTCACTCATCTCACTCATCCCACTCATCCTATCTTTGCGCTTCAGCCCAGAGTCAGAGCGTCAGGTCTCTACCTACCCATATCAAGCCATCGATAGAAGCTAAGCGCCAGCACCAAACATAGAATCAGAAGTGTGGGTTAGCGGGCAGACCGACTTTGTTTCCGTTCACGCCAGCCTTTTGCAAGAGTAGGACTGGGAAGGTGGTCGATTGATCGTACGTCAAGTTTGTTGTTGCTATTTTGGGTCGGGGGGCGGGAGATCAATGTCTAACTATTTTCGGTCTAGATTTGACATCCTTTTGCATCGCCATACCAACCTGTATCAATACTGTCTGTTACCAGATATACCAGCGTTACCGTCATCTTACGATACCAACCAAGTTTTCTATACTTCCCGTCTGATCCTATAATCTGCTCAACATCCAGGATATTTCCTGCCGGAGAAAATCCACCTCTGTGGCAGTGTCACCTATATCATTCCCTCGCTCCCTCCAATTTCTTGTCATACCTCCAGCAATTGTTTATCCTACTTCGATAATTCCAACTCTTCATTTCTATTCTCCCTTGGTCACTCTCAACCATTGAACGAAGACCAACCTCAAAAACCTCCTCTCCAATTTGACTCCACGTGAATCCCATACACACCTCAAGACCTTTCATCCTGAGCAATACAGCACTGCTGGACAGTACAATGGCTCCACGACCTATACTTGCACCACTCAAGACTCCGAAGAACGTAACCTACCCTTCAGAGCTTCAGGACACCCCATTGATCAAGCACGAGGACAGTCAATGTGAAGCAGGAAATAGACTCTCGGTCCTTCCACCCAAGGCCTACACAGAGTTTCTCAAAGCTTTGAGTCCAGCATATGCTAGTCCCGAAGGCATCAATGGGAGTTACACCAGGTGGATGATGAGTAAGACTCTTCCGTCTCCATCGTCAGTGCCATCAACTGCATCAACCGTCTCTTTCTCCGACACTGCTGAAGTAAAACCCACGGCCACTCCACTATCTCCATCACCAGCTGCACCTCAGTCTGCTAAGGAACCTACTCATGTTCGACGCCCTCGTATCTCACCTTCATACATCTACTCGCCTGTGTCGCTAAAGTCTCCCCGCAGCCCTTATAAAGTACGCACTCTCTACTCGCCTATGGACCGAAGAGCAAAGAACCTGGATTCTCCGCTATATGCGAATAGCGGAACCTTTACCATCCAGCATGTCGTCACGCACACGGTTACTTTCAAGCGTGCCCCTTCGCTTGAACCACCACCTAAGGGCAAGCGCAGAAGAACTCAAAATGTCTAAAGAAGCAAACAAGCGTCGACTTTACTATCTGAAACTATCATGCTATTTCTACACATAATGGGTTTTTTCTTTTGATATACGTACGGAAAGTCAAAGCTGTCATCTCATTCCTGTTTCCAATCATTTACGAGTCGAGTCTTGATCGTATCATTCTACAGCCATCCATCTGCATGCCTTGCTTACTGTTACTGCAGCCTCTGATTCTGACTTTTTTTTTTTCTTTTTGTTATACTTATCTGTGGTCTCTGTGGGCGCTTTTTTATTAGAAGGGCTAGCATCCAGATCCTGGCGGTCTGGTATGCGGACGGTATGACCGGAGGGAAACGGAGTTGGGTGATTCTCTTTGCTGTTTTAAAAGCCATCCTACAAGCGGCTGGGTCGAAGGGAGAAGATGTTTCTTGCCTGACAGAGGGTCTTTGAGTCAATGGCGTCTGGGAACATGAGCGCTGCATCTAGCATTGAGCCAATGAAATGAAGAATACTCTCAGAAGCTGTTTTGTCCCCAACTCAATCTCTCCAACCACATTCAACCACTCTGTTGGATATCGCTTAAAATCAAGCCAAGCGCTCCTTGACCTTCGCGAAGTTCAACCGAGAGGTTGACAACAATCTGGAAAAGGCGCCTTGACGCCTACGAAGGATTATGGCGCGCTAAAACCAACATCTTGCCCCCCCACGTGTCAGTCCACTCTTAGCGCAACATGACTCTGCGTAGAGAAATTCTTTGTCTATGTACAGTTTTGGGGGGGGGGGGGGGGCGCAGCGATGTTCTATGGCTCCTGGCGGCTGCCAAAGGATTGCTTGGCATAGATCTTGAGATCCTTGGGGATGACCGCCAATACTGTGAGCCTACAGCGTCCGGTAAGCGATCATGATCTAACCATTCTATTGTGGTCTCATACTTGTGCAAGAGCAATAGAATAAGCTTGTACTAATCAATGCAATCAGTCCCTGAAAGCAGTTAGGCTTGGTTGTAAGACGGTGATGTATCATTATTGATCTCGGTACTGTACAGCCTGTAATCTGTATATCTGTAATACTATGTATTACAACTATCACCATACACCACGGTTTGACATCAGTCCCGTGCATCAACTATCTTGCAATTATCAAGCCAAATATGGAATCATCAACGTTCAATCCTTGGCTAGAAAGAGCTATTGCATCTCATACAGGATCAATTCATGTCCAATGCTTTAGCTTGTTAGATCATTGATCGCTTAGGGTGTAGTACCATATGCAGCTATACTTGACTATTGCAGCTTACAATTATAGAACACGATGCGAAGTGGTGGCAAGTGAAAGCAGGAGCTTCCAAACTCTATCAATATCAAAGCTGTTTTTTACAGCGGCATCTCTAATAATGTTTCTAAATAAAGTAAGCCCTTCAAATTAGCATGCGCATCGAAGCTGGGCAATTTGTATGAGGTGCAGTTAAATGTGCGCCAGATATCACTGTTGGTCCAGTATTTCAGGGTCTGCATGCAACCACATGGATTAAGCTGCGATGTGCCGTGGATTCTTCAACCTTGTTTGTGGGTCTGTGGCCGATCTGGAGAGGGCTGTGATTCGATCAGGGGATTGTCTCTCCCCATGGGTATTGAATGCATGAGATAGAGTAGACGAGGTTGATCATATCTTGCCTGTAATTAGGTGACATAAACAACGATAAGTGCATACAGCTTCTACCAGGATAGAAAATCAAGCGCTCGTCTGTCCTATTCTTGGAATGTTGTGGATGTGGGATAAAAAAAGAAACAGTATCAAGCTTAACTTTCCATAACACAGGAAAGATCGTGAGGGGGAATGCCAATCAGCTACTCTCCTGGACATTGTTGCAGAATAAGGCAGTTGGATCATGTCTTATTGCTGTGATTGTTGGTCTTGATTTCATCGAATGGATTGATGGCACGGTCGCTGGGCTCAAACAAGGCTAGCTTGGCCCGAGCGTCCTGTCACTCCGGGCCAGGTGCGGGGGGAGAGGGAGGCAACTTGAACCCTAGAGTTTCCCGGCTGACTGGCAATCACACACGCATTATCACAACTGCATGGTTGGCTACTGTCAGCGCTAACTTGCAGCTTCTTGCATTAGTCGCGGCTAAGTGCTCCTATTTTTGGCTTCCACCCACTCTTCCCGATCTCTCAATCTGAAATGCATTCTTGTAGCCGGTCTCTGATTAGCTGGTTGCTCTTTCCTCCCTTCTCCCCTCTTCTCTCAACTTTTGACCTAATCTCATACTGATACTATGAGCGAGCTAAACATCTTTTTTTAGATCATTCATCCCACAATCATGAGTAATAATCCCATGTCCTATTTTTGGAACCACCATGCATCTATTGTTGCGAACGGCTTTGCTGTAGCGGGGCAAAACTTCGTTCATCCGAACCACACCAAGCCTTGTTAGCCGCCGGGTACTACGCTGCGAGACCTGAAGATTCCAAGTTTAGAACAAACCACTACCACTAGCTGACAGCCCTACATGCTGTTCGGAAATCTCTAATGCCCCTCTCATTTCCCCTTGCCTCCATAGCACGCTGTAGTGCCAAACTTCGTCACTTGTCGTTTCCAACCTCGGCGCGAAGTTCAAGTTCAATGCCCCGATTGCCAGTCGCTTAGTGCGTTTCTTCAAGCATCGGTGAACTCCTATGTCTACGCGCCCTTCTATTTCTGTCTGCGAGAATGAGCTATATACTAGACTGTGATGTAAAGTTTGGGCTATGAGCAATTTCGGGAATGTCGACTAGGAGCAGTAGGCGATAGCCGTTGCCTGCTAAACCGATCTCCTGGTCTCCACCTTCAGTAGTGCTTCTCCTGCAGCCCACCCAGAGGCCGGGGTCGCCCACTTAGTGGGGTACTATTTTTGGACAATCCAATTTCAACCTCATGAGTAGAGACAAATTATGCGATTCCTCGTCTTGTAGAAATTTTCTCATCAATTGTGTAGGACATAATGGTTAGGTTAAAGAGTTGATATCTCCCTCTACAAATATACTCATAGGAAAGAACCTGTGGGACGAAAACTGGTGGCATTTGGGGAGATCTGGTTTGATCGGGATGTTGCACGTTCAAAATGTATAGGGTTACTGGGAAGTAGCTTAAAGTATTCTTGTGGTGGCGGCCGGCTGCGGGTCCCAGACTGAACAGAACTAACCAAATTTAAGCGGGGGAAAGAACTCACATACAAATCATGTTGCTTGGATCATCGATTTCACAGTCGCTCGCTAGCTCCTTACTAACTCTGGCCAACGAGATGCGACATCTCCTGGATGTATGCTATTCTTATCAATGCCATATGTGACCGGCATATTCGAATCCATCTTGAGTGAGATGAACATCCCATCCATTGGACCACAAATGACGGTCGATCCTCGCCGAATGATTCATAGGTCTATATCTGCTACCCCTAATACAACCCCAGCAGCCAACGCAGCCATAGTCATCACCCTAAACTATATCTTAGTCTCGGCTCCAGATCCCGCATTGCATCTGATCGAATCAAGCCACTTCCTCATCAAACGATTGTCCGTCTCTAGCACTATCTCTCATTCCAATACTGCGTGCCACTGCACGCTGTCTCGGTACGATATTATTAGAAATGGAGATTGACATCACGGCGCTTGCAGTCAGACTTTGAGGCATATCTTCTGTCTATTGTTGCTTGCATGATCTATTTGTGGAATGAGTTCTTGATATCATTTTCCTCCTTCGCCTGCTGTTAGAAGGTACTGTGTACGATACTGTAATGGCTGCCATTTACCATACATACCAGTAAATAACGGTAAGTTACCTTCTCGCGGGTTGGTGAGAATTCCTGACTTCCATCCCTGCGCCTCCTTCCATCTGTTTTCTATTGCCCCTCTTTCTCAATGGACTAACCTCCGACTTGAATCATACTTTTCACGAATCGGAAAAAACCAAGCATTATACTCCTTGACTAATTTCCTCACTTCGCTTTTATCTTATAATGTCGTCATTTCCCTCAAGGTTGACTCCCCTTTTCGTCAGATCAGTCATGATTGACCACCCATTGTCAGAGTACTGACCTATGCGCCCAGAAGAGCATCCCTCACACAGATTCTGCGGACAAAGAAACAACTCTGATTCTCCTGGGCCTATGTTTCTTGTAATGAACTCGGCTTGTCTCCCCCAAACCATGATGAATGCAAGGGACGTCTTGTTGAGTATCTCTGTCTCCCTGGCCGTCAATTGACTTGAAGGGAAATGGCTTCGATCCTCACAGCGAACTTGCCGATATTGCCTCAATAACCCTTATCCCATAAGCACCGCCTACTTGTGAGCCGGGTTTATGCCTCCTTCCTCCAGATCAGGATCGCCGGATCGTTCTACTCGTTTCGGACATTCTCGTTCCCAACGCTTGGGCGGTGCGGTAAAAAGTTCTACCGTCAAGTTCGAAAAAGTTACGACGTCCCTAGGACGAATGCATGGAGAAATGGCAGATTATGATGTTCAAAACACTACTGGGTTTTATCAACGACCTGGAGCTTTGTTGGCGATAAGTGGCAGAATAGTCTGAGACTTGCATCCTATGCCAGTAAGTCAACAATCTCGTCCAGGGATGGCATACAATCAATGCACATTGGTCCCTATCGGCTGACGAAATCCGCCAGGGTGGTCTTTTGTCAGCTCCTGCAACATTGAACAATGGGCTTCCGCCATTAAGAGCAAGATGGCGCGTCACATATAACCAGTCATTTATACAATCTGCGATGGCAATAACCATTCTAGGAGATTGCTCGAATGGGCTGGTTAGGCCGTTAGTGCCTGCGAACTTATACATAGCAGTATCCTTGTTTGCCATCTTTCTTGTGCTTAACCCCGTCACTCGTGACTTCGGTTCGACCGAGAGAGCATTACGCTAACGAGTCGGATTCTCGGGACGGTCATCGAATTCCTGCGTCTTCTATTTCGGGCTCAATACAGTGGGCTCGGAGTAGGCTCCCTATAGATAGAGGCCATGCGTCTTGGTGACGATGCGGGCTGGCTGGAGCATAGCAAAGTTCTTTGCTGAGGAGTGAGCGCTCCAGTATTAAAGAAAGTCCTTGAGGCTCGGTCTCTCTTGTGTTTGAACAATGGCCTATGCGATCGACTGACCCTACCGAACCCGCTACTCTTTTTAGATTGGTTGGTAGAATTGGGATTTCAAAGGCTCTAATATCCTCGGGAACTGTTGGCCCCACGGATATGGGTTGGTTTTTGAGACCATCTTTAGGCTGGATCCTCAATTCCCTGCTAGTAGCTAGGTCGGTTGGAGTATCAGACTCGAGCCACCCTCACTATGCTGCCATGAACCCCTGGACATAATTGTTCTTTCTATCCCTCAAATCACCAATGAAGTTTCCTAACTCAACCCCTCACACACGATCACTAGTACCCGGGCATACAGCTAACATGTGCAGATGTGTAACTGGATATTATCAATTGCATGGATGGGTGCAGTTCTGTTAGATCAATATATCGGCCCCTTCGGACACCTGGGTTGTGTCTCCGCCATAGTACCCATGCAGTGTCATATAAGCAGCTGCTTGGCAGATGTTTATATAAGAATAATCAGACCCGAAGCCAGACAGTCAGTCTTGATGATTCTCGCGCAACAAACCAGTCATTATCCCGTTCTCAAAAAAGCCGTGAGGGAGGTTGAAGATATTTTTCAGCTTCGGAAGGACCGCGGAATGTGTCGCAGAGCCGATTGATTGATACAGATGACCCACTTGACACCAGAATACCAGCATGAGGTAGCCGTAAATATGACCGATTTCATGTTAAGGGCGCAAAGAATACGTACCTGTAGAATGGGCTTGTGGAGGGGGGGGAGTTCCTTCCTAGTTAGACAGCTGATTCTAGGATGAGACAATCGCGTAACTCTGCCGTATGCATAATGGCACTGTCTTAGTGGTTTGAGGTGTAATAGATTTGGCCACTGCGACATCATCAAGTGGGCATCCCGTGATTGTTCCGTGAGATCACTTCTAGTGCCATTGAGACATGAAGTTGATACGAAAGAAATTTATCACGGCAGCCTTAGGCTGACTCTCAAGTGGGAAGGTTTATGAGGAACGACATCGGGTTAATCCGATACAATTATGCTCATTCAAAGAATCGGGGAGTTGGCACTCATGTAGTGACAAAGAGCGAGCAATAATTTTATTCAGACTAAGAGGATCAATACATTGTGTGAACTACAGATGACGTCTCCGTCTTCATGTTTGATCTACCGAAGTTCTCGGTAGGTAAGCTTTGAGGGTATCGAGATCCGATTCTATTGCCACTTATGATTCGGATTAGGATCTAGAAGACATCGCCGATTCCTTGCTGATGAAGATCTTGTATGACGTTTAGATTATTGGAGCCATCACAACATAACGAAGGTTTACGCTCTGGGTTCGATGCAGTGTTGGTACGTATGGACAATAACAAAAGCAATATATATAGTACTTGCAACAGATAGTCCGACTAACACTAGGCAAAGGGTATGCAATATAGACAGGGAATTATACATCAAAAAGAGTTCATTCCAAGTACAATTCACTGTTGAGAGCAGATCTTTGGCGTCAATCGTTTCCATCGTGGATGCTGTGGTCGTCTGCGCCATGGTAATCTGAGATCGGATGTCGCCTGGAAAATAAGAACAGAACTTGCAGCAACAGACAGGAGAATTCCATGCACATAACTGTCTGGAAGGGAAAATTGGAAAAATGCAATGAAGGGGAATCGCAAGACGCTTAAAAGTGAAGTAAATGCACTGAAGGTTTTTGTTTGGGACTATGCCTCCTGCTCCTAAACACCTGAACGAAATTTGAACCGGAGATTGGATCTCTGAATCCTGTTGCACTCGCTGACGAGTAAATAGGTCAGACACGAGAACAATGCCAGGAAGAGATGACGAAATTACATACCAGAGATGACCCGTGAGGTATATACAGATAGATTAAATCAGAAGATAGCGCCAGCCATTCCGGCTCATTATGTCTCGCCAGTGAACCATTTGCTTTCTGAGAGGGCGCCCAATTGTCTCAACTGGAGGAGGTCGGGGCGCAGGACCCGTATTCTTGTCGAGATTCATGGATGGTAGTAGATAATTTGCACCGGAGTATAGCGGAGTCATCGGCTCGTCTGATAGTTTCCAAGTTTCCTTCAACACCCGGTACATTCGACCAAAACTGCCATACTCGGCGGCATCGCCAATTGCAGTTGTTCTCTGGGCCAGTATGTCGCGGAAATTGCTTCCTGGGGTCGAATAGACACCCGCGATTAGCAGGGGCCAGACCAGGGTACGATCATAACCGTAAGGGCCTTCTGGAATAAATTGGAGAGTGTCTCCAACCGCTTGAACAAGGTTGGCGGTGCTTTGTTGGGAGCGGTCGAAGCCAGGAACGAGAGTCGAGAGGTAAACCCGAGCTGCCGCCCGAAAGGTTGCAGTGATATTCAGGGTCAATTTCTTAGGGTCAATTTGGCCGGATGAAGAGACGGGAGCTTCTAGTGATTTCGCATCCGTGAATCCCAGCTGGGTAGTCAGCGCTGAAACATGGTGGCAGATGGTGTAGTCATCGAGGCGACCCTCCGTCTTTAATGCATCAAGACACGCAATCTCTGAAATGATGTACATCACACTATCATCGCAACCCATAAGGTCCCGCAAGCCTGACGATACTCCATTGAGATGCTTAGTGCGATAGGTGTGAGCAAACCGAGGGGATGTTCCAAGCATCGTGGCCCCGAGGATATCGATCCATGTCGAGAGAGATGTGCTGAAAGGCAAAGGGGTGAACGGAGTTGGCTCATTGATTCCGAGCTTGTTGACCAGATCTGCGACTGCTGTGAAATGATCATACCAAGGAATATCTGGAAGGTAGTCGTCAGGTTCTCCCACGGCACAGTGGAAAAAGATCATCGCAAGCGTTGCATCTAAAACTTTGTCATGATTATCATCTGAGTCCAGTGCTTGGCAGAGTGCCGAGATTGCAGCATAGCGATGTCGCATTATGTCGTCAATTGATTCGTTCTCATCACCCCAGCTAGAGTTAGCATTGAGTGTCTTGATATGCAGCGCTGAAACACTCAAACAACAGTGATAGTATGACTTGTTGGTCTTCAGTGCCCGCAGGATCTCATGCGTTCTATGAATACTCTGTGGATGAGCATCCAATACCGGGAAGATGATCTGTAACAAGTTGTCGACGAAGTGGTTAAGAAGTGGCTTCTCTGCTTTGCTCACGTTCATTGTTCGCAGATAAGTCGACAATGGTTTATCTTGGTGTTGAAATCGGGATGAGCCGACCTTATATTGAGTTTGAGACAGAAAGCTACCCCTACCAGTAATTCCTTGAATGGCCAAATGATTGGGTCCTGAGCTAGTTGGTGTGGGTAGCCGATTCGATGGTCGCCGGGAGGGTCGCCGTGATCTTAGCTGAGTGCTTTGCTGGGGGTTTCGTTGGTGCAATCGCTCGGGAGCATGCAGAGCCTCTGGGTATGCATTTGGAACTTGTTGTTGAGGTACTTCCAAAGGTGGTTGAAGAAATGACTGTGAGGGTAGCGGTACAGATACCTGTGGTGGTAACTGCGGGTGGAAGATTGAAGGTAAGTCCGATGTTAAAGACTGCGGCATCTCGTGAGATAGAGGTTCGGGTAGCGTTTGTGTGATTGCCTGCTGTTGCGATTGAGCCATGTGAAGGTGTGGTACAATCTGCTGTGGGTCCTCTGGGAGCTGTAACTGCTGCGGTAGCTGCTGCATCTGAAACTGACCCGGCATTTGAGCTTGCGGATCCATCGTAGTGTACATAGGAGTCACCGGGTGCTGCCACAGTGGCTGCTGACTGTTGAATCCAGCTTCCCACGGCGAAGACATTGCGGGCACTGCCGGGGTAGGTAAAGCCGGACTGTACGCCTCATTTGAGCTTAATTGTGATAGAGAATCACTGTAATCCTCGAAGTCGTTCGAAGATGGAAGGGTATGGTCAATGAATTCTATGTGCAAGAAGTGTTTAGCATGGTGCTTGATCTCATGCCACTGGTGCTGAATCATTACCTTGAAGGTCCTTCTCCTTCTTCATGACCTTTGTCACCCGAATCCTTTTCTTGATTCTGTCTCTGTGTATTTTGCGCTGTTCTAGGCTTCTCCACCAAGATGGTTCGGTGTACTGGCACAGAATGCCAAGCTTATTGCAATTCAGACACCGTGGGCGTGTTTCGTCGCACTTCTTTGCCCGTAGTCGACAGGTGTAACAGCCTGTATTTGTTGAAGAGAGTCAGTCGTCAGTGCGCCGGACCCTCATCTGCATAGGAATCTCTTAACTCAACATACCAGACCGCGAACGCCGATATGACCGAACAATCCTGTCACCTGCTGCTATAATACTACTTTCATCCATATTCTCATTCGGCACCGCCAATTCTGCACTGGTTGAAATAGAGCTGGACATGATGGGTGTAATGGTTTCTTGGTGACGAACTCAAGAGCTGATATAGTGGTAGTATGGGTTCGCAGGAGTTGGAATAGCAGCGAAGCTCTGATTGGACAATCGAACTGTTCATAGACCGGTATAGTGCGATAAGGCATGCACAAGGCTCGTGACGTGCCAGCCTCAGAAATAATGTCAAGTATTAGAAAGGCAAGGGTGAAGCTTTCTGAGTGATGTTAAAGAGGGGTTTATTTTCTCGGGTGTCGACTAAGTAGGAAGCTTGAATTCGAAAGTGGAAACCTGAGGTTGAACATGGTGCCTTGATATCTCTGGAGATGGGGACATTTAAGAGTAGTTTGCGATAAAGCGTCATGCTATGATGCTTCTATTTTTTGACGACGAAGGCGGTAGATCTAATTGTGGATGCATGGGTGCATGAAGATGGAACCAACAATGCGAACTGCGGGCGGGGAAGATCTGATGCGAGCGACAACTAGTGGGCGACTAAGAGCTAAATTTGGGAGCATTGACTTGAGGCCCTTGAGGTGCCTGGGGTGGTTTACATCAAATTAGGATGCAGAGAAACAGCCAGGGTCCCCCTCATCAACGCCTGCACCCTAATTACTCCTAGTCCCCTAGTAAGTGGTTAGTGGTCCTTTGGCGCCCGCACCTTTCTTCCTTCCTCCCATGATGACAGGAGCCGGCGCCATTAAGGTACGGGGGGGTCCTTATACTACCTTCAGCACAATCTCTTCCTGCCGTACTCAGACACATCAACCCACGTCTATTTCAATAAGCAGCACCTCTTCTTCAGCACTATCTTCCCGTTTTTCATCGCTTTGTAGCTCTGATGGGGGGCATACTGTTCGATTTCGCCCTTCTTGTTCCCCATCAAACCATGAGAAACAATTCTGCTGGCGCTTAGAAGTCTCCCAACATTCATTGGCCGCCAGGTACGTTGGAATCAACTAAGTCCTGTTTAGATGGCCCTCAGGGCGACTGATGAAACAACTGTGGGCGAAAAAAGACTGTGAAAACACAGCAAGAGGTGCATGCCAAGCTTCGCTTTCCCCTCCACCATTGGCTGTCTGCACCAGCCGCCGGCGGTTCGGTGCAAGTCTATGGTCTCAACGATGGGCGCCAAAAGGCACCCGCTCTGAAAAACCAGCCAGTCTGAGCCAACCAAGAGCCGACGAAGAGATACATGGCCCGTGCAGGAACATCTGTCCTGATAAGATCTGATTTGTCCCATCTGTGAACAACTTCATACTTGACAAGAAGACATCCTTTACTTAGCAACATTTAACCGCCCTCTCATCGATTGATTGATGCTTAATTGCTCTTTTTGAGCGGCTACAGATCTCAATTTCAAGAAGACGAACTTGTATAGCCGCCTAATTTATTCCCATAGTCTGCAGCTGTCACTGATCTGATCTTCAAGCTCAGTGGCTTCCTATTAATAAAGACTTTTTTATTCGTGGACCCTTTGATTCAACATGCAGCTAATACCTGATTTCTATCCAAGGACCAAGGACCAAGGATATTTACCGGCAAGATCGGACTTTCAGGGCTTGATACTATGCATCTAAGCGCACAGGTTCATAATTAGCATCACTTCTGCATCAAAGATGGCATAGTGGACCTTTGGAACCGTTGAAGAGCCTTGACCCATCACCAGCATTACCGACCGGCTGGTTCTTGTCGCCATTGAACTGACTCTAACCAATGGCGCGAAAATAACATGGTCATCAGCCTCAAGATAGCGGCTTCATGGGCGCGATTCGTGATGGCATTCAATAGCAGAGCTTCCATACGGTAAGCGCCGGACATAGATGCTCATCCCCAGATCTTGGGGGCATCTCATGTCAAGTGAAACATGTGTTGGTTTTGATTAAATTCACTGACTGTGATCTCTATGTGCAGATGATATACATCATCTAGTCTTGTGTGGTTCATCCTTGGATGTATAAAGGCTGATGCTCCTGCGGCAACTGCAAGTATGATGTGCCACTATTGTCTTAGAGACCTAAACCCCGCATACAAACTCGTGGCGATCTGTTTCTTAACAACATTGATTCGCAGCTCCGATCTCTGAGCTCGGGTCTTCTCTACAAGAGCACGCATTGCATGAGATGTGCATGAGTCCCAAACCTTTGGTCTTGCACGTATCGAATTAGTATGTGCTCCCTATCCATAAATCGGCTCGTTTACCTACATGCTTGAGACTGAATTGTTGAGCAGGAATGCAGCTGACTGGTACAGACAACAACATCGCCTCGCTAGCGCCGCATATAAAGCACGTGTTTGATTATGTTGAGTGACAAGCAAAACAATAGTTATTCTGGCTAATGTCTTTCTAGATTCTCAGTTCCGCGCGGACTAAGCATTTTCACTCGGAGACATGAGCCACGAGTGCTGATAATGATGACCGGAATACGTTTTCAGCTATAGGCAGTGCGAGGTGCAACAATTAGTGTCTATCGGGCTCTCTTGCCCTCACTACATTTGGTATTTTTCTACCTCTCTACCTTGAGTGTTGAAGCTGCCGACCGGTGACCCTACACGGTACGGGTTCTTGCTAAGGTATTTAAACAGCATCATGACCCCTGGCCCATTGATTGTATGGTCAGATCGCAGGCTAGATCGGAATCCCGGAGCCTATTGAAGAATAGCCTGGCCACGATCCATCCAAGATTGGTGTGTTGTACGCAGGAGAAACTAGAGGCCGGCATACCCGGACATGCAGGTGAGACATGCGCATATACATTACATGATGCAATCTGCACACCGGAAGAAAGATAATATGAATTGCAACTGACTGCGGTCTAGAGAATGGTTGTACTTGTTGAACTGTGTCGAATGACTGTGAAAGGTACCAAAATGGAGTATACGAAAGTGAATCGAAGAAGAGGACAACATCGCCCCGGAAGCCATCTGCACAGCAACATCAGCCTTTCTTCAGGAGCAATTCAATTACATGGGAAATTAGAATAGTAGAATAGCGCATCAGAAGGAAAGACAGCTGTCAGGTGTGTGTTGATATTAAAACGACGGCCTCGAAACCGGGTGCACGAGTGCAGGGAAGTGGGCGATATTTGAAGGGCCTGATGCGGAATTGTGACATGCGAGTCCAGGAACGCCTCGTCACAAAGACTGTCACATCCGATGAGCTTTTTCTCAATTGAGGGGTAGTAGGCCGCCCGTACAACCGTGCAGCTGCATCATGTTCTGTCTATACGTTACAGGACTTGGAAGAACCTAGACTTATGCCCTGCCCAGACAAGATTGTCTCATCTGTCCCAACATGGGATTTACTGGGCTTCGAGACTACTATTCCTGGAGTAATTAACGCCGGCATGACCACAGATCGGACCTTAAAGCTCTTCATGAAGCTATATTTATCCTCTTTGATGAGTTCAACTCGGATGGGCCAACCCCGTTTTCCGTCACCTCTCACGATCCCGTCGTCACAACAGTAGTGTGCTGGTCAGCCAAACAGATGGCTGAGACGGCCCCTCGCCGTGTGCCAGGTCCTCTCAGAGCACATGTCTGGGTTTATGCAGGATGAGCAACTGCGCCAATCAGACATTCAGGGCAGGCTGAACGAGCAGGTCCGAAGCGCTGGCAAATTCCCGGCTTGCAGCAGAGCAACAAATCATCTTCTCGGGGCACGGGCCGCGAAGGTGACGACGCGACTCGATTCGACAGTTGCCAGTCATCCCCGCTTCATGCAACTGCATGCTTAATCTGTCACATCCACCATCCTTCCCAAATCCATTCATTGCCATGTATCCCTGGTAACTCGTCGTGACATGTTCTTTTTTTAACTCACTAGAAGAACGGCCTTCACCGACTCGGGTATACTTATACACCCAAATCTCCTGTCCTCGGTATGTGTTTCTCCCTCACTCCATACTATAATCCTAAATTTGCCCTCTGGGGAAGCCTGTCCCCCTCCCTGCATTTACATCTAGCCGCATTCCCCTTCGTCTAGACTTCCCTCGTCGCACTCCCCACTCTCAACTCTCCCCGTGGCCTTTCAATTCTATCCACAACGCTCTCGACCCCGTCTGAAACGTCTCCTCCTTGGCTGGTCCAAGGGATTCATATCATGATGCACTACTTTCCCACGATGATTCACGACCCGCCGGTGTCGGATACCGACATGACCGAGATTTATGATACGGACTTCGACTCAGATTCGTATGACTATTCAGAAAGCTCAGGCCACATGAGTGTGGGTTCGGTAAGTGACTTTAGCCAGCAGACAATGGAACAAACATAGGCATGCTAACATAAATCTCTAGCTTGGAACGGAAAGTGTAACAACAGCATCCACTCCAGATGACATCAAAACCCCAGACTCAACCGGTCTTACCGGGTTTCATTTCCAGATCGATGAGAATCCAGTCAAAGGTCCTATGGGCCCTCACCTTTTCCGAGTCTCATCGGACTACACACAGACATCATATGGCCTCGAACTAGCTACGGAAGAGGTTCCCATCAGTGCCTCGACTCCACTCTATTATTCGGCTTCAAAGCTAGAACCTTTAAGAAGAGACACACCTGTACCCAATTGCGATTCGACACAAGCTCCGACACAAGCTTCGACAGTGCCTCAAACCGAGTCACGACGGCCGAGTCTTGATGCGCTCAGCGTACTGGAGTGGTCTCCTCGAGATGTTGTCTCGTGGTTGCAAAGCCTGGAGTTTGATGAGTCTGTCATTGAGAAATTTTTCATCAACGATATCACTGGGTCCATTTTACTGGAACTTCAAGCTGAAGATCTAAAAGAGCTTGACATCCAATCCTTTGGCAAGCGACACCGCTTGATGAGCTGCATTCGAAAACTTCGGAGCACTCCTTCGCCTAACACTTGTGGCTCCCAGAGTGAGTTGGATCCTACTTCCCGTGAAGCCACATCTACGCCAAACACAACTGCCGCCGATGTTGGCGTTGACTGCACTACACCCAATTCGGAGCACGACAAAACCCACTCCAAGTCTTCTCAGCACCGCCGCCGTCGGCGCAACAAGAGCCGCAGCGGTAATGATGTTGTGCCTGAAGACTCTGTATCGATCGTGGCGATCGAACAATTGTTGCCTAGGCTTCACACCTGTTCCAAGGGGGAGAACTGTCGCAAATTCCAGAAGCAACAAGTCAAGTTGACAAGAATGGCAAAGGACATCCCAATCGAATGTCTAGGTGGCTCGGTTCTCATTACCGGAGATCCAGGAAACCCAGCTACTGCTCAGAACCTGGCCAAGACACCCAAGTCAGATATCACACCTTCCTTGGTTGCCTCATCAGATGCTTTGGGACACAATCAAACGTCTGGGTTGGAACTCTCGCCTGCCAAACTGGATGGTGTGCAGCCTCGGGATCCGCAGGAAAACGTTCGCAACTTCCTGAACTTCCAACGCCTGAGCAAGCTTCAGCCGGCAACTGATCCTGCAACCCCTCCAATTGAGCATCTGTCACCTTGTGCCAGCTCTCCTGGATCCACTAGAGGGAATGCGACACTCTCCGAGAACCTTCGCCATCTTCCAAAGCTTCGAATTCCAAGCACCCACACTGAAGTCAGCTCTGTACTCTCCCCGAACTATTCCGCCCAGCGTACCATCACCCCCTCTGTGCTGCGGAAGCATCACCCATTTTCCCAGCAGAGTGCCATGAAATCTCCTAAAGTCAATGGAGTAGCTGAATCACCTGCAGACTTTTACCGCATTGATCCTCACTATGGGCAGAGTACGCCACTCTCTGAAGTCGACGTTCCTGTGACCGCCATTCCTGCGGGGCCCATCACTCGCGCCTGCTCACAATCCGTACCCCCAGACATGCGCTTTGGTGGACATATGTATAATGTTCCTAATGTTGTTTCTCGGCCAGCTTCCACCAAGCCTGAAACCTCCCGAAGAAATGGATACCTTGCGCCCGGTCACCATGGACAGAAGACTGGTCGTCTTCAGCAGCGTATTATGTTGCCACCAATCGAGACTCCTGAAGATATGGAGAAGACACCTCGAGCGGCTCACTGCAAAGGCCCCTTCACAACCAACGGTCCCAATGGTGTCAGTCACAGTGGTTGGATGAAGAAACGGAAGACCAATCGGTTCCTACGCCACGACTGGGAAGATCATCACTTTACTTTGCGAGGTACCCAACTCGCCATGTATTCTGATGAGGATGCTTCCCGCCGCGACTCTAAGGCTTTAGAGTATATTGATGTTGACGACTATGCTGTTGCATGTTCGTCTCTACCTTCGAGCTCAAAGTTGACTGCCGCTTTCAAGAAAACTGTTCTCAAGCGTCAGGACACAGCACAAGGAACAAGTGCATTTGCGTTTTCTCTGATTCCTTCTCCCACCAACACTACCTTCGACAAGAAGGCGCTCTTCATGAACGGCCCCAAGGCGCATCACTTTGCTGTCAAGACCCGCGACGAACGCATTGACTGGATGAGAGAGTTGATGCTGGCCAAAGCGCTTCGAAATGGCCGTGCAAATGCCACTTCTATTACTCACAACGGCAATTTTATCTGAAAGCTTGTTAGCTACTATCTCTTCATGTTTCCATCAGTTCATACTTCCACCCATACTCGATACCCAATGCTTTACTTTTTGTTATCTATCATGCACTGCACTACCTTTCTCCTTTGAGGAGTACTTTGTTTTCCCTTCTCTTAACATCATGACGTGACGAATTTCTATTTGATGTCTCTTTCTTGTCAGTATACCCCTCCACACCGCATGTGGTGGAGAACCCTTTCTTTATGTCTCCTTGTCCGTGACGGGAAAAGCATGGATAGACAGGGTGAATATTTGGCGGCCCGGGCTCGCGCCCGGTCGGCACTACTGAGCATATATAATGACTCGATGATCTGGAGCAGGACCTCCTCATGTACCAGTTTAGAACCAAATACATATTTACACTTGACATCAGATTGAACTTGCGTAGTCATAGTTTACACAAAACCATGATAGCCTTACTCCTGATGATTGACCCCGTCTGGCTCGAAGACTAAGATCTAGTGGCAAGCACTACTTCTTGCTAATGTGATATTGCATAGCAGAATAGTTTCCTTTTTTCTCTTTCGCATTGGGCACTGATATTAGACCCGCGCTCTTCCCGGTCTTAGTTTCTGTTGAAGACGTGTTGAGCAATTATGAGTTTGTGGAGAAATATTAGTCTGCAAGTTCGCGTCTGATTCTTTCACTGCCTAATCTTCAATTTCTCCCACTCTCACTGTTACCCTTTCCGCTGCGACCAATTGTCGGTCAGGCCAACCGGTTTGAGTTCATAGTTAACTTCCCAAGCATCAAGGTCATCTAATCTGGCAGAGCTATTAGGACAGTGTGCTGGGTGCCTGCCAGGTCATCTATCCCCTAAAAAGTTCGTTGTTCAAGGATGGATGGTTGTGATCACACCAGCAAGGGTACAGTAAGACCCTCATTGGCAGTGAGGGAAAATGGGGTGGATTCACCCGGCGGTTAATGGCGGGCGGGGAGTGGCCTGTGCCTCACTACATCCCTGCGTGGCTGCATGCGGGCGTTGCTAATCACGTCCACCGTCTCACAGTATGTCGACCTCGGAAACTCCACCACTTCCCCGCTTCATGCCCGGTCCTGCGTCCATGAGCTGATCCAGCCTTGACATTCGGGTGTCACAGCGGCGGTTCTCTGTCTCTGTGATGGCATTAGCTTTATTCTCTCCGTCCTATCTCTTGCTACCCACTTCCAACTTCGAGTCACAAAAAAAAGGACCTCTAGAGCGCCGGATGCCGCATCTCTCGCAATGCAATGGGGGATGGAAGTCTCGAGTTTGACAGTCATACGGGTTGCAAAGATGAGCGAAAACCAGTACAAGATGTAGTGAAAAGTCCCTGACTATACCGGGATGGGTGTAGACGCCTATCAACCCTGCGTGTGACCAACAATGGATTGTCGCTTTACCTATAGGTAGGCCAGCAGCGCGGCTGGAGGACGACTCCCTTTGGAGAAGACATCCGCTTAATCCTCCTCTGGCTAAAATCCATGAACTGTGCTGCCAATTAATCTTTCTGCCGTTCTTGTTCTGTGTCAATTGGTCAACACGTCAGTTTTGCTCAATTCTTTATCTTGTCTGCCTCATGAGATTCCAACCAGCGTCACAAACTTATTTTTCTTTTTGTGTTCCTATACTTCGTTTCTTTTGCCTTTTCATTCTCGGGCACCCAATTCTTTGCTGGAATACATCCCTTAGCGAGCCTGTCTCTTTTCGTTATCTTCTCTACCCATGTTAACTTCGAAATCCGCTTCTGTGACCCTTGTTGACTCGACCCCTGAAGATACGGCAACGGCTGAGTGACGACTCCCGCACGCAAAGATGGTCCAGTTGACAACGCTCCACAAGGACCTCGTCAAAGTCACTCAGGCAACCCGCATTGTGATGCGCTGCCTCAGTACCGGTCGAGACTCGCAAGAAACTTCGCAGAAAGCCTTGACTTTACTCACCGACGTACTCGAAATCTTGTATCGTATCAAGGATCAGACGCTTTTGGGTGAGGAAAAATGGCACGTGGACTCGATGCGCCTTGAGGGGTTGGGAGAGATTCTTGGATGGCTTCAAACAACAATGCAGACCATCGAGCATTACTTCCAACCGGGGGGTGTGAATGTGGCTTACTTCCGGAAGCACCTCCTGGAGAGGACTTTCTTGCCCCAATTAGAACAATACAAGATTCTACTGCTGCTAGCAATGCAGCCCGACTCAGAGTGCGTGTTCTACCAGCTTATATTAGGGAGTTTGTGCTTGACTAATGAATGTCTCAGTGATCGGTCATCGCTCGATCAAGAAATCAGGTACATCTTGAAGCTGTCGCAGGACTTGGATTGTGGTACGAGTCCCCCAATGGCATCAGGGTTTCAAAGAAGTAAGCCTGCTGACCATCCACAACAGGGCCTAAGGTCGACCTCAAGTTCGAAGAGAATGCGCTCGGTCTTACAAGTCAGCTATGCTCGGAGCAGTTCATTATCCTTGCCGACCTGTGCAACAGACGACTTCAAAACTCCTGTCGCTGGATATTCGACAATGGCGAATACAGAAGATGGCTACTGGGATCCTTCAAAACGCTTTACTGTGTTGGACCGCGTGAGTGCTGACTCGGATGATGAACGTTCCTTGGCCCCTGTGCTAACATTGACTTGTTGGTGGAAGCTGGTGCGGGCAAGACATTTCTCTCGTAAGTCACCTCTCTAAGAACGCAAACAAGGGATTGACTCACGCGGACAAAGATCCACCATCATAGATTCTTTGCAGAAGACGTTCACCTCAACGGACGTTGCTACCGTGTTCATATATTGCCAAGAAGAGAAGGCAAAGGAGCAGACCTCGCTTGAGATTTTGCGCAACATTCTGGCACAGCTCGTATATCGCAAAAGAAGCCTCTCCTACGCTACCTCGTCCTTATATCATTCTGAATCCCTGGCCCACGGAAGAGCTTCACCCAAAGCATACCAAAATGCTATTCGGGCGGAGGTCAATCGATTCTCCAAGGTTTTCTTTGTCATCGATGGCCTTGATATGGTTTCCGACAAGGAGCGCGTCCTCAGCCGCCTGCAGAAGCTACCGGATCATGCACAGCTTCTGGTTACCGTTCGTGAAGTGACACAAGTCGGAAATGCATCTTACATCAGTGTTCTGGGAGCTTCACAAGATCTTCAGATGTACGCTATCTCTCGAATACGGGGTGATCCGGGTCTGAGGACATTGTTCGAGAAAGAATCAGACACCCCATTACACGAAGAGGTTATAGATGCTATAGTGGATAAGTGCCATGGCGTGTGAGTACCAATCTTCTGGCCAAGAGCATCTATCTCGCTCTTCACTCAAGCTGACATAATGCGTCAGTTTTCTACTGGCAAAGATACACCTGGATCTTATATCCCGATATACGGACAAAAGTCTTAGAGAGCGAGCCCTGGTCCATCTACCCGAAAGCCTCACTGAGGCCTACGGCGAAGCGATGAAACAGGTAGTGAGCCTGAATTCTAGCGCTGCCCGTTATGTCTACTGGACCTTATATGCACTTCGACCATTGACCGTTGCAGAACTGAAGCATGCCACCAACAGCTATACAATAGAGAAGCAGGACGAGGGCATGACATTTGAGCACTTCTTACATGTTCAGAGTGCCGGGATTCTGACGGTTGATGCTGTGTCGGGAACTGTCCGGTTCGTTCATAAAACAGCAAAGGAATATCTAAGCGGCACTGTTGCCCGCGTTTTCTTCCCTACGGCCCAGAAGGAAATTGCTGAAACTTGTCTGGCTGCCATCACGCCGGATGAAGTCATCGATGATTGTTACTATCATAAAGCTGCCACACCACGTACCAAGAGTAGCGGATTTATCGGCTACGCAGCCAGGTATTGGGGCTATCATGCTCGTGATGTCGCTGACGATGAGCAAACCATCCAAGTCCTGACTAAGACATTCCTGAACAAATTGCTTTGGCGGCGACCTCCCATGAAAGAACCAGGCACAGAAAATCGAGTCCCGCAAGATCTAGGCTTGGGACACTACCCCGAGGACTGGTCTGCGCTTCATATCCTCGCCTTCTTTGGAATCATTCCTAGATCGAAGCGACTTATCCTCCAAGGCGCCAATGTAGATGCGAATGATAACTCGCTCAAGTTCACGCCACTGCACTGTGCAGCTTATCGGGGTAATGAGGAAATGATCGAGCTTCTGCTGGATCACGGAGCTGATCCCAATGCCGTGACCCGAGACGGCAACACGGCTTTGCACTTGGCTACGCAGTACGGTCAGCGCAAGGCCATCAAGGTGCTTTTTAACCGGCGTATCAATCCCCAGATTGCGAATAAGAAAGGCGCTACGGGCCTGCAACTCGCGGTGGGGACCGAGTCCGACGAGACGACAATTCCACTGCTTGTAAAGAACAAAATGGGCGTCAATATCCGGAACATCCATACGGGCGACACAGCACTCCATCTTGCTGTGAAATACCGACGACCTCGCATCATACTCTTTCTTCTTGACCGAGGTGCATCGATCGACATGACTAACGAAGACGGCTTCACGCCACTTCAATTGGCGGCCAGCACAGATAACTGTGAAGCAATCTCGCTCCTGCTTCAACGGTGTGCCCAAGTGGAAGCCCGCTCCCTGTCTGGTTTCACAGCATTGCAGCTGGCGGCGCACGCCAAGCACTGGATAGCGTTTGACCTGCTGGTCATAGGCGGAGCGGACATCAACGCCTGGAACAAGGAAGGGTCGTCCTTGCTGCATGAGCAAGCGAGGAAATCAGCAAACACAGCGATCGCATCGAAGCTCATCGACCAGGGGGCTAACATCGAGGCACGTACCTCACAAGGCTACACCCCGCTGCAGTGTGCAGCGCGGGCGGGAAACCGGGCGATGTTCCTGTTTCTCCTTGATCGAGGCGCTAAGCTTGACGTAGAGACACCGAAGGGGGAGACTATCCTGCACATAACGCCGCCTGTCAACGATGACTGTCTGGACATCCTCAAGCTGGCTATTGAGTTCCACCTCCCTTCGGCCACCACCTCGCTCTCTACCCAGGGCTGGACCCCTCTACACCAGGCCGTGGCCACCGGAACGGGCTTGCCGGACGCTTCCTTCGATACGATAGCTAAGTACATCCAGCTCCTGCTAGCGCACGGAGCCGATATTAATGCCGCCGCCGCCTCCGCCGCCGGCGAAACCCCGCTGCACCTGGCTGTCATGGCTATTATCCCCCGCCCGTCGCTGGTGACCCTCCTCCTCACCTTGGGTGCTGACGTCAATGCCATGACTGCCAATGGCAAGACAGCCCTACACCTGGCTGCCGAGCGCGGCCGCGAGTCTCTCTTCCGTCTCCTAGTCGACGCCGGCGGCGACCTCTCCCTGGAGGCCCCAGACTCAGCCAAGGCCCATGACGGCTTCACCCCATTCGGCCACGCCCGGGGCAGCACCGCCTTTGATCTAGCCCGCAAGAATCCCTTCGGCGGAGAGACCTGGTTCGATGAGGAAGGACGGCTGAAGCCGCGCCGGACTAGTGAGTTAGATCGTAGTGCCAGTGTTGGCACGGTCATCGATGAGGAAGAACTTACCCTCAAAGACTCGGGGTGTTGCTGCGAGGTGACCGAGAGAAGTGGACTTGATGACACCACGGATGACGACGATGATGACTGTGATGACACGGGGACAGAAGAAGAGGCTACATTGGTAGGGAGTGAACATCCCACCTCGGCAACATATATTATTGTTTGATCGGCTCGTCTGCCCACAGGTTTGCGAAGTCGCGGATTGCAGCCAGATAGGCTCACAGGAGTGATTGATGAGGAGCGACTAAATGATGCGCAATGGCCCCGTTACGAAATTTATGATACCCCCTGACCACCGGACCTAATGGTCCGGAAGTCTCGCAATTGTCTCATGTTATGTCCTTCATTGGTTTCTATAGCAGTGCTAAAGAGCTGAAGAAATCATGATCAGAGAAATGAGCATCTACCAAAGAAATTCTGTTGGTTATGTATATATACTCTGCACAAAAGGGATGACCCCTTTTCAAGCCATGCGTAATGATAGTTCAATTTCCCACGGCGTTGGGGTGATTTTTGATGTTAATTTCTTGATGCCTGGTTGTGATTTACATTCCTTTCTGACATATAAACCCTATACCTTTTAATGGTAGAACAAGTTTGAACCGCCTTCCAAAGAAAATCAGACATATTACTACAATCCCTTAGGCTGAGCATACACTGTGGTTTGTATCTCTGTGGTCGGATATCCGCACAATCCTTGTACGTCAAAGTGAGAGATATAGCCTTCACTGATTGATCAGATAGCATCTTTTGAACTTTTTCTTTTTCCGTTTCATTTATGAACATTTCTTTATCTCAGTTCCCCTGCTTTCTTTTCTCTTGTCGTTGTTATTTGGGTCCATTCACACTATTCCCAGTCTAGAAACTATATCATTGCTCTATTTACATAGGCTACATGTACGAGCTCTCTTCAACTTATCAGCTAGCTGGGGAAGCTATTCAAAACAATACATTCAGGCCTTACATGTTGAGATGAGCAGGATGTTATACATGCTCGTACTAACTGTTTTAGTCAGCACATGCACTAGCATTCTAATAGATCACCTGACCACCGGCTGACGATGCTGGATTACACCAATCATTGAATGGGATGGGACTTCCCTCTCCCCAGCTTCAAAACCACAACCATCAGCCATCATCTATTCTGCGACAGAGCAGTGCATGCGACCGCATCTAGAATTAAACCAAGATGGCGCCTGACAGAAGAGAAGAGGCGCACTCGTCTACCTCACCCGACACCACAGTGGCCCCAGACCCGCCGCCCATCCATCCTTCATTCATTCAGGTCGCCAAGCCGTACATCTTCGAGCAGACCATCCAGCAATGTATTGCCGCCATGGGAGTCAATCCCCTGCGCGAGGAGTCCCTCCGCCTACAGGGAGTAACGTGGATTGACAGCGTACGACGCAACCTGTTTCTGTATGTCTATCTCTCATTCCATTTTTCAATCCAGAAAATCAAGAAAGTTAACATGTCATGCATAGCCCAATTCGCACCTTCAACACGGCGGTGATGTACTACCACAAGTTCCGGCTCGTTCATCCGGATAACGAGTACAATTACACGGTAAGTCTCCAGTACTTCTGACCCAGCAATAGTGCAGTACTAACGAAACTCCCCAGGATGCTGCTACGGCTGCTCTCTTCACGGCCTGCAAGGTCGAAGACACGCTCAAGCGATCCCGTGAGATCGTCTGTGCAGCGTATAATCTCAAGCTGCCCCCTCATGAGCACGTGGCTCCGGACAACCAGGTAGCATGCCCCGTTGTCTTACCAAATCCATCTTCTTCTCAGCCCTTCTTCACTCCAAATTGACTACACAAGTCTTGCATTCCAGACTAATCAACCCAAACCCAGGCCTTCGACATCCCCGCCCGGGGCATCATCGGCCTCGAGCGCCTGATGCTCGAATCCTCCGGCTTCGACTTCCGCACGCGCCACCCGCAGAAGACGCTCGTCAAGCTGGCGCGCAAGTACGGGCTGACCTCGCAGTCCGAGGTCTCGACCGTCGCCTACCGCATCGCGCAGGATCTGTATCGGACCTACGCGCCCATCAAGCAGACCACCTCGACCATGGCGTTCAGCGCCCTGGAGCTGGCGGGCCGGCTGCTGGACCAGCGCATCCCCGAGGTCGAACGGGGCGTGGACTACGAGGATTGGCAGACGAGTCGGGAGGAGGTTATGGGTTCGTGATTTCCCCTTCTCCCTTCATTCTGATCCGAACTCAGAGGATGACCTGGACTTCCTGATGGAAACCATACAACTAACCCAAACCCGGCAGAAACCCTCCTCGACGTCCTAGAACTCTACACCCACAACCGCGCCTCCTCCACCGTGGGCCCGCACTTCCCGGCGGACCGGTTCCTGACCGTCCGCATCCCGCTCAACTCCGAGGCAGAGGAGAAGAAACTTCCCCGGTACACGCACTGGGTCGACGCGAAGCCAAAAGCGCCGCCGCGCGGTCCCAAGGGCAGCAAGGCCTACACGAATGGTACAAGTGCAGGTAACCACCTCAGTAGCAGCCACAACGGCAGCGCCGCCAACAACAACAACGGCAGCGCCGCAGACAAACCCGCCCATCCGCTGACCCCTGTCGCTGCGAACGGGGACCGCCCCCGCGCCGGCGAAAAGAACGCTGTGCGGTTCATGTTGGAGCCCGACCGCGCGGAGGGGGAGAGGGCCCGCGTCGAGGAGTATTTCCGGGTGGAGGTCGAAGAGTATGAAGTTGAGGAGTGAACAACCCCGGACTTTATTCTGGACTATTTATGTAAGATTCTTTTTTGGGGGGTGGGGTGGGTTTCATTTTGGATCTCTGTTTGACGGAGGGGCTGTCGATATGAATGGCGGGGAGGGGGTGTATGGGTGA